CTGATAAAAAAATCAGCACGTTTGCTCGAGCCGTAATGGAGATATTCAATTTTCTTAAGTGAACATGACTTTTGGGACACCCGGTATATTCATTATGGCACACATTGTCGCTGATAACAACAGTATGAAAAATCAGTCTTTTATAAGAAACTAGAATGAATCTTTTTTCTAATTTCTGTCAAACTAATAGTTAATTTTTTTTTATTTGTTTTTAATGGTCATATTTTCATACAAGAAAAACGTGCTCGAGATGGTAAAGGATCGGTTGTAATAGTTTAATAGTGGTGTGTTGGTAAAGGGAAGAAAAGAAATCAATGCTAGAAAATAAAGGTAAAAAAATAATACAAAAAAAAAGAAATTTATATGAACAAAGCAACCAAATTTCTTCACACTGATTTGTTGTTTTAACTAAAGATCATAAAGTTATTTAGTAATGTCATTATTTTTTCATTTTCGAATGAATAGATATTTCTTGCTTCTTTGATCTTAAGCAACTTTATCAAGAACAGCACGTACTTCAGTAAAAACATCATCCGGTGCTAATTCTGAATTGACCTACAGCAAAATACCAATTCTAAGAATCAATATGTAACAATTATAATTTAATAAACTACCTCAGCTAGTTTGCCTTGTTTTTCATATAAATCTAAAACAGGAAATGTTTGATCATGAAATGTTTTCAAACGCTGTTTAATTGTTTCTTCATTATCATCCACTCGACCAGATGTTTGACCACGATGTAATAATCGTTTTGTCATTGTGTCATCACTTGCTTTAACATAAAGAACAAGATTACATGGAGCAATCTAAATATAAAAAAATAAAATAAAACAATTATCTAATATTAAATCTTCTAATATTCATAACTAACCAGTTCTTCAAATTTTTTTGCTTGTGGAATTTCACGTGGATATCCATCGATAAGAAAACCTTTCGATTTGTCTGCATTCTTAATCATATTCTCCTTGAGTAAATCGAGAACAACTTCCTGACAAAAAAAAAATTGTTTTGGAAAGTAATTTTTAATTAAAGATATGATTCAAATACTATTGGTACTAATTTGCCTTGTTTCATTAATGCATTGAGTTGTTCACCTCGTTCAGATTTTGATTGAACAGCTTCACGAAGAAGATCTCTATAGAAAAATTGTCTTTTATTTTCTCATTGATATTCAATTTTTGATTCTTACCCAGTACTTAAATGTGTAAAGCCATATTTTTGAACAATTCGTTCACATTGTGTACCTTTTCCTGATCCTAATAGAATCAAAATTCTTCATGATCAATATAAAAAAAAACAAAAATAAATAAAAATAACCTGGTCCACCGACGACAAAGATAATTTTAGTATTTTTCAATTTATCTAATCCAGGTTTCTTTTCAATAACTAATAAAAAAGAAAAAAAAGAAGAAAAACAATATTATAAATAATTGATTAATATTAATAACATTTAAGGGGTAAAAATATTGCACAAAAATCAGAAAATTGAATTAAAGTAATGTGAAGAAAGTGCTCGGGGAAATTTTATTTTACTCTCACCTTGTGTCATATTTGTTATGTATTGTTTTTTGTATTTTTGTGCAGACTAGTATCCCTTAAAAGCAACTACTAACACAATGACAAGACAAACAACAAAAAGAAGCCCTGGTTATATAAGTATTTGGTACTATCAAAAACACTAGAGGAGGAGAAAAAAAAACCGAGGAAGATAAGCGAAGATAGAGGAAACGAGAAGAAAAAAATATGGTAAGACGTCGACGCTTCCTAAATAGTATGTTGTGGTAAACGAAGAAGAAACTATCGTAGCCATAAATGTACAAGCCATTTCTTCATCAATCTATAATGGTATAACCTTTCAAGCATATGCTTGCTATTTTGCTTCTTTCATCGCATAAAAACAGAAAAAAAAGAGATCCAAGGGTACCAAACATAGATGTCAGATCGACTTTGCAGATTTTTCTAAGAAAATGAGTATAAATACACAAATATGCACTGATGAGAGTACAATTATTCTTTTTTTTTCTATCACCATAAATTCTATAAATAATATAGATATATATGAGGAATAATAATTGTTTTTTGTCAGAAAACGTGAATATTGAATACACAATGGTGAAAAAAAGGGGAAAGGTCACATATATACCTTCACTTGATAAATTATGATCGCTATTCATCTGAAAAATAAAGATTTTTTCGTTGGCTTTGAATTTCCGCAGACGAAAAAATTTATATAGAAAAAAAGATTCTTATTGTTTACCTACTTGCTTTTGTTCCATTAAACCGGTCAATGCATCTGATACATCAGCAAATATTTCATCTGGTTCTCGACTAGCATCGATTGTTATTAATTTTCCTTGTTTACCATAATGACCTAAAATAGGTGTTGTTTGTTCATGAAATGTAACTAAACGTTTGGCAATTGTTTCTTGATTATCATCAATTCGACCACTTGTTTCACCACGTTTTGTTAATCGTTCAATCATTATTTCATCCGGTACATCAAAATAAATTAAAACATCACATGGAGCAACATCTTGTTCGAATTGTATACCTATGAATAAAAAATAAAACCGAATTAATTTATATTATTAATAGTAAATAGATAATCAAAATTGAGCTATTTAATATAAAGGAGAAATCAATCAAAGACTTACTAGATTTTATTTTACTACTGGAATGAAAATAAACATAAATTTTAGATGTTAATGGTTAGAAAGTAAAAAAAAAATGATGTCTTTATTTATTACCTTGATCAACACGACGCGGAAATCCATCGATTAAAAAGCCGGAAGCTTCATTGGCTCTTTCTTGAATTGCATCTTTAAGTAAACCAAGAATATCTTCCTGAAAAAAGAAGTAGAGAAAAAGTCAGTCGTATGATTTTTTTTCTGGAATGTTAATCCTTTTTTTTGTATTACCGTTGAAATAAGTTTTCCTTGTGACATAGCTTCATTAAAATAACGACCTTTTTCAGTTGTTGAATCTTGTGTAGCTGCTCGAATTAAATCACCGGCTGATAAATGTGTAAAACCATATTTTTCAATCATTTTTTCACATTGTGTTCCTTTACCACTACCTTTAATTATGATAAGATTTTATTTATACAATATTAAAATGTTGATATTCATACCTGGTCCACCACCAACAAAAATAATTGGTTTGCCTTTAAGTAAATCTTTAACATCGACTTCTTCAGTTTTAATGTGTTGATGATCATCTACTTGTTGTTGTTGATCATCATCTACTTGTTGTTGTTCATCATCATCTACTTGTTGTTGTTGATGATCATCTAATTTTTGTTGTTGATGATCATCTACTTTTTGTTGCTGATGATCATCTAATTTTTGTTGTTGATGATCATCTACTTTTTGTTGTTGATGATCATCTACTTTTTGTTGTTGATGATCATCTACTTTTTGTTGTTGATGATCATCTACTTTTTGTTGTTGTTGATTTGGAATTGGTGATTGTGGTAGTTGATCTGGTATTGGTGACTGTGGTGGTTGATCTTCAATTTTTGGTCTTTCTTCTCGTTTACCTGTTGGTATTGCATCAAGTTTTGGTGGACGAGTCAATTCTGTATGTAAAGAAGGAGGTGGCGACGTAACATTTGTATTTGTCGAAGTTTTCAAAGGAACCAATGTATTATTCATACCACCTTTTCGTCCAATAAATGTATCCCATTTTAATTGTTGATTGCCATCTTTATGCTATACAAAAAAAAATGATGATATCTGATGGTTTTTTTTTTGGTTGACACTTGTAATAAAACGTACTCGTGTTAAAGATTCAATAATGAAATCAATATGATCTTCTGGTTTATGCACCATAAGACCAGTGATTAATGCCTAGAAAAAAAATTTAGATCGTGGCATTTTCATTTAGGTATTGATTGAAAATAATTTACTTCGAATAATTGTGGAATTTTTCGTTTAGCAATATAGTCTTTTGCTAATTCTGTATTAGCATTTGTATTCATTTGATTCATAATTGGAAGACAAAATTGAACTTTGCAATAAAATATAAAAACTGAAATCTACAAAAAAAACAACACTGATATTAAAACTGAGTTTGTATTTTTTTTTGTCTTTTTTTGCATTTGTTTTGTTTTTACTTATTTGGTACAAAGACGATATAGTACGACAAACAAATTAATATTTACTCACATCTATTCTTCGCACAGTAGTAGTGCGAAGAGGACGAGGGTAAAAAAGAATGACAGACAGAGAAAAAAAAAAGGAAAATGCATCTGATCACCAACACTACTGCTGCTTCCTCGTTCGGCGTAAGCTTTAAGGCATAAAAAAGTGTATATATATATATGAGACTAGAAAGGGGACGACAGCAAGCGTACATCAGAATGAAAGCAAGGGAAAAGGAAAAGGGGTCTGACCCCGTTTCATTGCACATAAAACATTGCGAGATGACTAGATGTAGAAAAAAAACAACGTCACATAAAATATTTAAAAAAAGGCACGAGAGATTAGTTCAGCAATATTGCAAATATTCGCTTTCAAATACGTTCGAGTATATCTTTTTTGAGATCTTCATAAATTTCATCAACTTCCATTCGACAATCAATCTGAAACAAATAAATAAATAAAAAAAACAAAAGAAAAATAATTTTTTTTAACTTCATTTAACTTACAAAAATAGCTTTATTTTCTTGTATACATTTTTCGATAATACTATTAAATTCACTACATTTTGTTTCTGTTCTATGGTCACCAATATAAATTAATGCTGAACAAGGACCAATCTTAAATAGGAAAGAAAATTTTTTCCAAAGTCAACAAGAAATAAAGAAAAGAAAACAATATTTACTTCTGTTTGAAATTTTTGAAGATTATTAAATGAAGTTGGAAAATGTTCAATAATATAACCAGTACATGTACTCATTGATTCAATAATTGTTGTTTTTAATTGATCAAAATTAAGTAAATTAGTATTTGAATCTCCAAATCGAATATGTTTAAATGAGAATTGTTCGGCTAAACGTTCACATAATGCACAAATAAATGAATTATTACTTTCAACTTCACTTCCTTCATCAGTTATATCAAATTCATCATCAATTGATACATGTTCAACAAGTTTATGTTCATTACTAGGATTACAATTTTCTTTTGTTAATAAACGATGAATATCAATGCAAAATATAATTGGTAAAGTAAAATGATTTGTTTTCGATTCAATTAATTGAGAATGTTGATTCATTAATGTCTAAATGAAAAAATTAATAAATTTTATTAATTTATTTTTTTTACAAATAAGCTTGAGCGACTACTGAGAATTATTTTTTTTTTGGGATTTATCTGAACTTATCCTATTGATAACATATCTTAAGTTCACAAGGAAGTCTTGATAGGACTAGAAAAATCCTAAAAATATCCTGAGAGTTTCAGTCGAAAAGAATGTTTGTTTGCCGAGATATTGAATTTGCAAGTAGACTCAATTTTTATGGTACATCTATGGGAAACGATCATTTTTCGAAAATTCAATATCTCAACAACGGAACATTCTTTTCGACTTAATCTTTCAAAATATTCCCAAAGTGGCCAGATCTATCTATGAACAAAATTGTAGGTCAAAAATTCAGTAAAATAGTCATAAATAGATGCCAGAAGATCATGACACAAACCCTCTTAGGATATTTCTAACCTTATCGAGACCTTGTTGTGAACCCAATATGGGCTCAAACGATAGCTATCAGTTCGGCTAGTTCTCTCGTCAGCTGATTTCTTGTCGTAAGTCTCGTTTTCGATCTCATCCTCAGCTAGGTATCTGCCTTTAGCCTAGTTTCATTCATCCAATGATAAAATATATAACGAGATTTATAGAAAAATTCCGGAAGGTACTGATAAGACTTACATTATGAGGAAAAATCCCATCAACAACACGAATTGCATCGGCAAGTATAATGTCAAAATCATTATTTGAATCGATCTAAAAATAATTTTTTTTTTCTGCTATCAATGAAATAATATAATTAATTATTTTACTTGAATAATATCTACATTTTGATTTGCTATCGTTTGTCGATTGGATGATAATATAATTATTAAATCAATGCGTCCGAGCTATGTTAAGATTAATTTTTAAAAAAAATGTAAATTTCGTAGAATCAATAGAAAGAAATAATACTTTTTCTTGCCATTTATCGTAGAAATATTTTTCATCAAGATGACCAGCTATAAGAAAACCATGTGAATTTGAATGACGTTGTTCTATTGCATGTTTAACACAATCATATCGATGTTCATGTTTTCTAAGATCTAAAAAACAAATTTTTCTTTTGAGAATTTTATTTCATTAAAAATAAAGAAAGTTCTTTTTACCAATTGAATCATCTTCATCAATATTTGCAATATCATTAATCAATAAATAAGTTATACCATCGTAACGTTCAATTAATCTTGAACATAATTTTGTTGAACCGGATGAACCTTAAAAGAATACGAAAAAAAAAACAAAAATCTATGAATTTTTTTTCTTTATTTGCCGAATAGAAAAATTTACTTAGAACAAAAACAATAGGTGGATTTTGAGAGGTCTTTTTGTTATGATCAATTGGTGGTAATGCTGGTGCTTTGATTGGTGTTTGACGATTTGATGTTTGACTTGTTTTTGTTGTTGAATTTGAACTACGAACAGGAGGTAATGGTTTTTGTCGGCTTTTAACAGTTGTTGATCTTGATGGTAAGGCACCTTTTATATTACTGGTATTTGTCACAAAATGATCCCAGCGAAGACGATTTGGATTATTTTGCACCTAGAATTTATGGTTAAAAATAGAATGAAGAAATTTCAAAAAGAAAATCAAAATTCAACCTTGTCTAAACATTCACGAATAAAAGCAATATGATCATCAGGTTTATTAACCATTAGAGCTGTCATTATGGCCTGAAACAAAAAACATAAAGGAAGATAAATTGTTTTGACTTTTGTTTTTTTGTCTAAATCTACTACCTCGAATAATTCATGAATTCCTTTTTTATTTATATAATTAGTAGTATGTTGACTACTATAAAGTCCGTGCGGTCTTGTTGCCATAGTTATTCCAAAATATATAGTTGACTAGATTCCAACGAATTAATTCAATATATTTATTTTTTCTATTAATTGAAATATTATTGCTTTTTTTTCTGTATATCTAAAAAAAAAGAATAAAAAAGTTATGTCAAAAGGAGATTTTTTACTTCAAAACATGATTTCGGACATGTTTAGAAAGAGTGTAAAATATCATAAATGAATATTGATTTACTTAACTACTCAATAACAAATGATGAGAAAAAAAGATTCTAAATCACAATTTTTTTATTTATTTATTTTTATCATGCATTTGAATAAATGTATCCCATTGAAGTGGTAATTTCTGTTTTTGCATCTAAATAATAAAATAAAAAAACAAAATCAATTTATAAATATATTAAACAAACTTTTATTAAACTATCAATAATAAAATCATAATGATCATCCGGTTCATAATTCATTAAACCAGCCATAAGTGCCTAAATGATATTTTGTTTTTTTTTTGTAAATCATTTTCTTATCTAAATAAATAATTCATTTTATTTCTACCTCAAATAAAATTGGAATTTGTCGTTCAGATATATAAAGTTTTTTTCGTTCACTAACTGGATCTTCATTTGTTTTTAAAAATGATGACATCTGAAAATAATATTTCAAAATGTGATTAAGATAAGCAAAAAAAGATAATATTAGTGTGTTCACAAATTTCAGGACAAGAAAACAAACACTCATAATTTTACAATTAACCTAAGGCATAATTATGTTAAATGGATATACATCACTGGAAAGCAAGAAATAAAAACAAAAAAAGTAATAATAATAAAGTTTTTAAACACTGGTTGTTTCACTTGGTTTTGTTAACACAGATGCACCTTTTATCGGTGATGAGACAGCTGTTTGTTGAAGTTGAAGATTTTCAAGAATAAAATTTCGTTTCTTAGCTCCTGCTCGTCGACTAGCGAATTCATCACTATTAACAGATGGTAAACTTGAACGATTTTTTGGTGGTTCATAATGCGGTAATACACCACGAACAACATATTTCCATTGATGATCTTGTGCCTAAAAGATAAACAAAAATTCTATTTAATTTTTTTTTTGAAAAATTATAATAAGACTAATAGAAAAATATTCAAAAGTTTAATAACAAAGTATTTTTTTTTCTCTATATTGTTAAGCGCCTAGCTCAAATCCAGATATTGATTTTAATAGTCAATAAAGTTTTTATATAATGCATTGTATACTAAGATTTCATACATGAACTACGATGGCAAAGTTTTTTTAAAAAACCGGATATGGTAGTATTAAGGTCCTAGAAGACTGTGTCGAAACTATTTTAAGGAGCACAAAATTCTGAATTAATTGAGAGATCGCCTCATTTTCTTCTATCTTTCTTTAAAAAGTTAAAGCTGTCACAAAAACCGAAAAAAAGTGTTATTTAGTCGATTTTGCTTTTTTCTGCAGTTTTTTGTGATACTTTTAACTTTTTAAAGAAAGGTCGTAGAAAATACAGCGATCCTCCATTTTGTACTCTTTAAAATACCCCTGACAAAGCCTTCTGGGACCTGAAAACTAGCGGATCCTGTTTCGTTGAAAATTTGGCCATCATAGTCGCCTATAAAATTTTGGTATAGAATATATTATACAGAAAACTCCATCGATTACTAAAATCACTGTCTAGATTTGAGTTAGTTGCTTAACATTATAGGAAAAAAAAATCGAAAATACGCGGTTGTTAAATTTTTCTTCATCATCTTATATCTAGTTCTTGAATCATCAATTCAACGACGCATTTCTCTCTTTTTAACATATGCGAATTTCCGAACCGATTATCTAACAATAGCTATTGTAATTCTCATAGTCTGACAACTGTATATTGTAGGATCAATGTCATGCAAACGAAACAATTTTGTAGAAATCCATGCACTGATACCTATACTCGAAAAACTAGTTTATTAAAACAACTTATTATTTCAAAGTTAAATCTTGACTATTTACTCTTACGACGAAAATACCAGAAGTATCTAGTTCTGTTTTGACTCATTCATACTTTATTCGATAGAGTTAATAGAAATAAGAAAAAGCCTTAAAGGGTTCACGTCTATGACCTATTAGCGAAGAGTTAAGACATTTTGAATGAGAGTTACACATTTCCGATAAAAACCAAAGTGAAGAATTTTGATCAGAAACTTTCACTATAAATAGATTTAATAGTCATTAGATAGTCTTGAAAGTTTCAACAAAAACAAACTTGTCTTTCTCCAGATAATTAATTTCCAAATAGAATGGATTATTATGCTCTCCTACCTTCCCAGTAGGCCATGAGCTCGAACGCTTTTAGGTTTTTTTTTCTTATCTCAATACACTCTATGAATGAGTCAAAAACAGAACTGGAGATTTCAGATACTTCTCTCGTTAGCCAAAAACATTTTCTAATGAATAAATCTGATAATTTAAACTTTCTTTTTTTCAATTTTGATTAAAAAGAGATTTTTTTTCCTACGTACATTCACAATTAACATAGCGTTGAAAGTTCGTCCATAAACAGTTGGACAAAATGATATTTTTAATAAAGTACCATTTGCACTTGCTGGTAATAATTCACCATACTCTGGTGTTATACCGAATGATCGATCACTGTTTGATGTAAAATAAGCTTCAAATGGAATTGGTGAACTATTTCAATTAAAGAAAAAAGAAATTAAATTTTATTGAATCGAAAAATAATTTTATTAACATACTCTACTGGACTATATAAACGGAAACCAATAGTAGAAATTTTATTAAGGCCAACAGCTTCAAGTGTAATCTCATCATCTGGTGGTATGTCAAGTTTAACAAATCGTAATGGATATTTTAATTGACCACCAGTTGCAAGTGTTAAAACAAGTATACAATCCATTCTGTAGGAAAAAAAAACAAAAGGTCTATTCATTTAAATATTTCAAACAAAGAAAAAGAAATTTTACGTTATAAATTTTGATGGTGTATAAATAATATTAAAACGAACAATATCACTTTTTTCATTATCACGTTTAAGAAGTTGAATACCAATTGAATTTTGAACAAATTCTTGATTAGAAATATTTTCATTAATGATTGTATAATTTTCAATAGCAGTTGGATTTCTTTTTACTAAAATAAAAGAAGACATTATTTTTATTGCACTGAAAAAAAAAACAGTTTTGGTTTTTTTTTTACTATTTAAATGTCGATTATCAAAACGAAATAATTGTCGATTTAATTCAAATTCAAGTTGTTGTTCAACTCGTTCACCAGCTACACATTCAATTATTGTCAATTGATTATCCGCTTCATCTTTCTGACGAATCCAATTAAAAGCAATGCCTTGTAAAGGATATGTCCATGAAAGTTCGGATGCATCAGGACTTTAAAAACAAAATATAAACATTAAAGAATTTATTGAAACAAAGAACAAGTTCTTTTTACTTGTCCAGTGACCAAGCTTTTCCTTCTGGTAAACGTCCAATAATACGTAATTGTGCGTCATGTCGAGATAAGGTTTCTGGACAAAACGCAATTGGAATATGAAATTTTTCTCGTGGTCCAATTGATATATTTTCAATTTTATCAAGTAAAATACGAAATGAATTATTCATTCCTATTAAAAAAAGAAAACAAATTTCATTTTATATAAAGAATGTGTTTGACATTTTTTTTCTTACCAGATGAAAGAGAAAAATCACATCGAATCGGATGATTAGATGGATTTTGAAAATCAATATTTGTTGTTGAGCTAACACCAGTTTCACTTGTCATAATAATAGGAGATTGTTGTTTTTGAGGTTTTGTACCAACACCTTTAACAGTATATTTCAATGTACCAAGCTAAAATTAAAAAAAAAGAATATAATTAAATGAATAATTACATCAGTATTAAGCATTCATATATAACAGAAATCACTTTGAACAAGCAATAGAAATAAATGATCAATTGAATAATTATGTTTTTTTCCTTTTCATTTCATTTCAAAACGTAGATCATAAGGTGAGGATAGTATTGAAATATTTAGATAAATATACCATGGAATTTGAGTCAAAAAAACAAACGTTCGTAAACTGTTCGATATACCACAAATCAACCGACAGCAGTTTGATACTTCAACGGTTGGTTATGTTCTAACTGCCTTTCTATCACGATATACCAATAATTGTTTTTTGACTGGCAATCTATTGCCGATATACCGGCAGTAGTGTGAACAAATGTGAGAGATGGTACGAGATGTTTCCAAAATACAAAATTACAATTTCCATACATATTCATATCGATCATAGCTGAACACAGGACAACTTTTTCTGTCCTCTCCTGCTATTTCAGTCAGTTCTACCGCCCGGAATACAATAGGCATTTTTTCATAGACGAGCCAGACATATATTTTTTAACTTAGAAAGACCATCTTTTCTGCTCAATATAGCTCTATCATCTCTCCAATATCACTATTACCTGAGAAAGTCAAATTCGATAAAAAAAAACTTCTTTTTTTTTTTTTTACTGAAAAATCACTGTGAGAGACACTTACTCTATGTATATGTGGAACGTTTTGTTATAAGAAGACTACTACGTTATACATCATTCTATGTTGAGAGTTACAGAAGACTCCTATACCCAAATACATCATCGTTCTCAATACGTATCAAGTATTACTGATGCCGGTGTGTATTATGCGAAAATTCTAATAAAAATTAGATTAAATACAGGATCAGCTTCTGTGTCCAATGATCAGCTCTGATATCAATACCATTGGACTAGTCACTTCACTTAACATAGATTTTTCTTCCTACTAATCGTCGGAGAGATTTATTCAACTAATTTATTTCAAATATCTGTTAAATTTAAATAAATTCGTTTTTGTTTTAAATGCAATATAATTTTCTATCAGCAAAGCGGTATAGCAGAGCAAGATAAAGCATCATGTTACTTTTTCAGTACTCGGAAGAGAATCCTGATTTGTTTGAATCTAATGTATGTGCATTTAAAAACAAAGATTGTAAAAATTGAAATTAATAGTTCTTCTTTTCTTTTCCTTCTTTTATATGCAAACCTTATCATTAACAAATGAAATTTTCGATTGATGTTTTTGTTCAGTTCCATTTCCAATTGATGAAGGATTAAATATAATATTAACTTTAGCTTGACTTTTAGGTTGAACTGTTATTGTATCTTGATCAGTATTTATTGTAAAATTATTATTATTTGATAATATTGTTTGAAATGTAACGTGTTCATCCAGTGGATTTTCAATTGTTATTTCTTGTGTAGCATTTCTTTAAACAAAAAAAAAACATATTACAATGATGATTTAATCAATATTTAATAATAATTTATATATATATATATGAGTGAATATTAACTTTTTCATACGATTGAGACTTTAGCTGTATTTGGTTAATAACTTTTATTCTGGTTGATCAATTCGAACAATTTTTTTTGTATGTTACTGGTCTCGGAGTGAGTGTGGATGTATAGAGTTATCTGAGAATCAATTTGAAGTATTCTGTCGAATTATGTACCTTTCTCTTTTCATGTCTAATCGTCGGAAATACTGTATGACAAATGTTCTCGAGAAATTTTCATTACAGAACAAAATATGGAATAAAATTTTATCATATAATATTTCAATTGAGAATAAATTAAAATAAATAGTATTTTTTACGATTGAATCTATTTCATTGTAGAAATGCATCTTTCTTTTATTTCGAACATCGATTCTAAATTTTAAAAAGTATTTCTACTACATAGAGTTTGAGTAGTCTATTACGACCTGTAGAAAAACAGTTTTAATATGATATTTTAAAGAACAGTGAGACAAGATAGATTACATTTTATATTATTGAAAACTTGTTCCATTTTCGAAATTGACTCTACTTTAAGAGCAAACATCAGCTCAGAATTAATAACCAGTTTTATTACATGAAATTTCAGCGAGTAATAATCGGTTTTTCCATTAAATAATGTTTCTTACGATATGTTTACATCGAAGTGAGTCATGTCTCGGTGAATATTTAGAAAACGTGTGCTGTGTAATATAAACATACAGTATAATACAATGTACTACTCAGATATTGTTTAGGTCTACTTTCGGTTTTTTGCACCAATCGTAAAATTACAATTCACTCATTTATATATAAATATATATCTTACCCTCCAAGTGGTGCACTCATTGATGGTAATTCAACTTTTTGTGGATTTGTACTAATTAAATTAATTTCATACCAAAATTCACCAATTTCATCATTATAAAAGATAAGACTAAAGAAACAACAACAAAAACAAATGAACTTTTAGAAATTTACACACGTTTATTTTTTATGTTGTCTATCAATTAGAAAAATATATATATAAGTATGACAGTTAACACGGCTGATTACTCTCTTTTTCCATATAATCGATAGAATTCATTCTAGCAGAAAAATATTCTTCTGACATATTGATTGAGATAAAATATAATAATTAAAAATTAATAAAAGAAAAAAAAATATATTGAATAAATAAATCTTTAGTTTTTTTTTCTCTAAAGATTTCTGTTTCTTACCCTCCATTCCAATTTCCAATAGTTTTCGGTTTGAATATAAGTTCATAACGAGCTTCACCATTTGCTTCTATTTCTATTGAATCATTACCCTTAAAAATAAATATTTATCTATACAACAACAAAAAACAATACTGGTCAAAATTAATCTTACAATAACATCTGGTAATGTTTCTAAATCAATATCTAATCGTATTGGATGATCAAGCGGATTTTTCAATGGAATAATTAATGAATTTGAACCCTAAATTTAAAAAAGAAACCGATAAGTTATTTAATAGATCTTTGTTTTTTTTGCTATTTCGCGAAAAAGAAAACAAAACTATATTCTGATTTATACGCCTTCATTGAAAATTAATCAGCTGCCGGATGTCGAGACTTCAAAAATTTTCCGGCTACTAGAATCAATTATAAATTGTGATTTTCTTGCTTAATTTACTTTTACATATTGATCATAGAAATGTGTTCTTTTGAAATAAATATTGTTAAATAAGCAATGATCGTTTCTCTAATTATAATAAATGTATATGAGATTATTTCTATGAAAAAAATGAAAATCATTTTGTCACACCAGATAGAGAATAATTGACAACAATGAATAGCTTATAAAGACATTCGGTCACATCGACCTATATCTATTCTAGATATTCAAGATTTCAGTCTATATTATAATGGCATAGATTATTTTTTCATTCAATATATAGGTAATTTCTATTTTCTCCTATTTCAATATCACCGAATGAATACATAACTGAAAACAAGTCGGCATCAAATATGATCCATTCTATTACGATTAATTAATCTATTACCAAATTGATTAAATATGTTGCTTGGTCAAAAACAGATACCATCAAAAGAAGGTTTTATTCGTCTTTATTTTTACCCAAAAAAACTCATAGTGATAGTATAATTTCTACATTTTGTGGGAGGTTCAATAGTTCGATTCAGTCGAATTCGTGAAAGGTTGTGGGTGTAGCTGTGCGTATCAGTATGAAGAGGAAAACACCCACACTTACATACTATTCTTTACATAGTTTACTCGATATCAAGGAGAAGATGTTAGGTGTTGAAAACTTTATATCTAGAAAAGACGAGATATAAAGATCCTGAAATTTTCTATGCATCTTAGTTAAAGTGAGAATTTTGTGTCAGTTAAATTTCAGGCAGGAATTCAATCATAAATTTTTATTGAAAATGTAAGCTCCTATTGATGGGAACAGCAGAGTTAGACTTCTACAGATTTCCGAATCTTAATAGATTTTTTAAAAGTTTTTTGTGGATTTTATTGTTGTACTCTTTCAAATTTTCGGATTGTCTTCGATTAAAACTGAAAAAATCCGTTTTTTACTTCTTGAATCCTACGGAAATGAATTCAATAGTTCGATTAACATCCCAAAAGGCCACGAACCTTTTCGAAAGTTGTTCTACTCTAGTATTCTTCTACACTACTAGGAAAAATATGGACTCAAAAGTTTTTAGTCATTTACGAAGTTACCTTGTTAATATTTCTACGTATCAGAAAAAAGAAGTTAATCTTTGTATTACAGTCAAGAATTTCTCTCGTAACAATAAAAACTTGAATCTCTAATCTATTATTCAAAACAAGAATTAGCAGCACGATCGAGACATTCAATAATTAACGTTCGAAGATTCCAGAAAAATCATTTGAAATTAATATTTCTCAAAGCCTTTTTAAATAATAACTCATCTATGAGACATTCATCATTTGATTTCAATCAATAAATATATAAAATATTGCATAAAAAAGAAAAATTTTCTAGCAGATATTTTTTGCTAAATAAACATCATATTTAACTAAACATACTAAACATGGTGCTGTTAAATCAACTGTTGTTTGAGGATTAGGTGATTGAACGTTAATATCAACCGTAAACCAAAGTGAATATTGAAAATCTGCCGGATCATCTTGTTCAAGTGGTGGAATTTCATCACCATCAGAATCAATATCTCTATTTAAATAAAAATTAAAAAAACAAAAATGAAAAATGAGTTTTTATTTTTATTTACTGCAATTCAAACATACTTAATAGGCCATGGTCCTGGTTGAAAAACGACAACACCTTTATAAGTGCCTCGTTTTGGTGGACAAATTTCAAATTCATATCGAGCAGATTTTTTTGGTTGAACACAAACATAAGGTGGTCCTTGAACAAATGGAAGATTACATGTGACAAAATATGCAGTTCTCTTCGCTTTTTTATTTGATATATTAATAGTATGAGTTGTTCTATATAAAAAAAATAAAATAAAATAAGAAATTTATTTATTTAATTATTTCCTTTCAAAGTTAAACTTACGTTGAACCAACTTTGCTTTCTAATTGTAAATGACCGATCTAATAAAGGAAAAAGACTTTTTCTTAAACTGCATTCTGTATAAGGCGTTAGCAAAATTCCTATGGGATTAAAATGAGAAACACGATGTAATTTATTCTATCTAATTTCAGACACATTTCTTTATTAATCCTTTAGAAATACAATAAGAAATTAGTTCATATATTATAACGAAATATTATTAATACACAGTTTATCATAGACTCTGACGAGGAAACATTTTCGACTATTCAATCGCTTTTCGCTTGAGATTATTGCCATTCGATCTGTCGCAAGAAGTAGTAAAAAAGTATGTTTTGGTTTGGTTTTCTGATCTTCGTGAGTTGAGTTATGGGTGTTTTACTCAGTTTTTGTCCAACGAGCATAGGATCGTTGAGAACCTGAATGATCGAATTTTGAACTGAACGTTCGTCCATAGATAGATTTGATAATCACTAGAAACATCTCAAAGTTTGAGCCAAAATATTTGCTAAAATATATATATTTTAAAGAAACACCTATTTTTCTGGGGTGTATGTTTCACAAGAAAGACGTTTCTAGTAACTATCAATCCTATTTATGGACAAAATTTCAGTTTGAAATTTGATCATCTAGATTCTCAACAATCCTATGCTTACAGAGTAAAACTTGAGTAAGACGCCGATGACTCAACACGTGAAGATCGGAAAATCAAACCAAAACAGACTTTTGTTACTAGTCATCATGATCGATTCAATAGAAATAGCTTCAAGTAGAAAGCGATCAAACAATTTGAAATGTTCTTTTGTGAATAGCACCTGCTTATGATCTGTGGAACGTCCAAATTTTTACTTCTATACTTCAACACTTCTTTTAGATTGTGTTTCACAACATAATTTAACTTACAGGTGGTCCACGATCAGCTTTACCACGTAGATTATATGCTTGTGTAAAACCTGTATCAGCATTACTAATTATCATTTGAGCTTGAAATTTATCATCTTCAATTTGTGGATGAAATGTTAATGGATATTGATAGACTGATTTAGCTTCAACACGAAATGTTTTTGGTCCAGAAAATGCTTTATTACCCGAAAATGTTGCTGTCATATTCCAATCATCTTCAGTTGAATTAGCCTAAAAGAAAAAACAATGAATTTTTAAATTCAAATAAAAATAAATAAATCTTAACATACAATTGGAATGTTTTGTTGTACAGGTGTAAATACACTTGTTCTCATATGTAATCCAGCTGTTTGTTTATCATTATCACTTTGTGTAACACAATGTATTTCAATATCAAAATCACGTATATCATCACCACATGTTAAAGAAACTCTTGTTGAATAAATACCTGTTTTATCAGCTTGAAAACGTATTGGTAATTTAACAGATAATTCTTCGGTTGGAAATGATAAACTTGTTGGAATAATAAAATTATTTGATGTTGATGATGATTGAACTTTAAATTCAGGTAAACGAGAATATGGATGAAAAGTTTTTTTTGAAGGTTCTGGTAATTGATTAGTTAAACCAAGTAATGTTTGTTTTTGTCGTTCACGTTCTGACATGCCCTGTTGTTTTTTTCGCATATAAATAATTATATTAAAAGGTAAAACTGAAGAGGTTTATTTTTGTCATACCTGCCATCGAACAGCAACTAAAGCATTGTGTCGTTGACTATTTTTTACAGGAATATCAATATCAAATACATTTGTTACACCAACTACAGCTTGAAAGCGTAGTTTTTCTATTTTAGCTAATAAAAATAATGAAATGTTAATTATAAATATTTTATAAATGATAATTCTATGCTTGAATAGAAATCGTATATATCGAGAGAAATAAAAACAGAAGACTTTTAGATTATATATAGATTATGAGACTTTGGATTTTCTTTTGACATATATTCTTAATATGTTAGTGTAACGATTTTACTCAAAAAAATATCTTTTAGAATTAGAAATTGTACTATGAATTCTAATAGTGATTGTATTGTTTAGTAAATTTTATTATTTCTATCCTTGTCTATATCTTTTTTAGCTTAAACAACAAAACGTTACTTTATCTTTTTCTGCAAATATCTCTTCTTGATTCCTCGACAATATAAATACTATTTCTAAGATATTTTAAGCATTGTAACGAGTGATTTATAAATAAGAGATCTTTCAAAATACTGAAACATCTATTCTTTATTGGGTCACCTGTTATGATCAAAACAGTTTTCGATAGAAAAAAGACATTACTGAATTTTGTTCTAAGAAATGTGAAAAACTCTCTTCAATAATTGATTGCTTACCTTTCTTCTGATCAAATTTCATTGCTTTGTCACTGGATACGGGAAATGGTCTACAAAAAAGAAAAAGAATAAATGTATGTATACAATGTAAATATAAATATTTTATAATGCATACTCAGGTTTCTTTGGAATACCTTCAATAAGAAAAAGAAATTCTCCTATTGTTTCATTCATAAAAACAAGTAATGCTTCACGACGTTTGGATGTTGTTGCAATATATTGCACTTCAAAATGTTTTGTTTCATGTGCTTTTAATTCAATTGAAGTTTGTTCAATAAAAAAACAATCAGCTTCATGATTTTGATTTGATCTTTTTTTAGTTTTTTTTAAATTCTGAAATAATTCTTCAACTGTATCTTTTTTATTTCTATCAATAGAAGAAAAAAAACAAGAGAGATTTATATTTAAAAGAAAATCTAACGAAGAAAAAACGGAAATATTCACCCTTCAATTGATGTAACTAATGGATTTTTCATTTCCTGTGTATTTTCAGATGAATTAACAATAGCTACTTGAAAGATACCACCTTGATCATATGGATTTGTTATTTCAATTGTTGATTTTGTTATTTTATAAAGTGGTGCTTCAATACGATGAATTTTCTAATTAAAATAAATTTAAAAAAATTTTTATCAATATTCTTAAAAAAAAACTAATTGAGATTGTTTAAAAGTCAATCAAGTTAACAACAAAACACAACAAAACATTACAAGTCAATTAACAAAATATCAAAAACTTGATCTTTACCTTTGTCGAATAAACACACTATTATAAGAAGAAGGACAATAGAGAACAAATGTTTTCATTGACATGCATAAAAAAAAAATACGATCAGTGTAAAAGAATCTTTTTCCTTTGTCTTTTTCTCCTTTTTTATTTTATTTCTTACTTTTGGTGTAACTGTTTGTATTGAACCTTGTAAATAAAAGACCATAGCTGAACCTGGATAAGTACTTGTTCGTTTTCCATATAATAATAAAACAGCATCAGTTGGTCGAAGACGATTATTTTTCGATTGAATATTAACTAATAATGATGTTTTAGCTGGTATACTTAATGTTGCACCTTTAACAAGTTGAAATTCATCAGCATCGCGACCAATAATATTCATTGAATAAGTTAATGTTTGTATACTTGGATTTGTTATTTTAACTTGTGATGTCGATGGTTCATGTAAAATACCACCAAATTGTATTGTACCTTTGGATAAATACTCAGGTAAATGTTCATATAAATAACAAACAAATAAACACATGCATATAGGATCAGCACGTGTTATATCTAATGCTTGAAGATCATATTCAAGACCAAGTTGTAATAAACAAGAAATAATAATAAGTGCATTTTGTAAATATTGTTCACCAGTTGTTGGATGAACATACATACGTTGTAAATGAGGTTCAATCTAATAATAAAAACGAAATAAATAAATCATTGTTACTTTGTTTTTTTTTTATTGAAAATTTTTCAATGAATTCTACATACTAAAAATGGACAATAGGCACCTAATACTGTACCAAGTACAATACTGTCAACAAGATCAATATCAAAATTGACAATCCAACGACCAGATGGCATATTAGCTAGAATTAAAATAATAAAATACATAAACAATTTTTGTTATTTTTTTCTCATTTACAATAATGAATCAATAACAATACGATTATTTCTTTTCGAAATCAATCAGTTTTCTTTTTTTTTTCTGTCTATCATACAAAATATCTCGAATACATAAACATGACTCAAAAACAGATTCAACTCAAATTATAGATAATAAAACTTTCTTTACATTGTTCACGATGTGTCCAAACTTGTTCACGATAATTTGAATAACAATAATTAAGCCATGTTAATAATATTCGTTCACTAATACCATAAATATTACTTGATGTTGGATCAGTATTTATATCTGGCATTAATTTACTTCGTTCTGGTATACCTAATTGTTCATATGATTTTGGTGTTATACGACCAAGTACAAGACTCTAAAAAAAGAAAAAAAAAAGAATTAAACCCGTACGGAATAGAAGACTATCCACAAAAAGAATTTTCCAAGGCGTAATAGAAAGCCATCTTCGGAAGAGTAATATGAATTTTCAAAAATAGAACTTCATGATTTTTTGTATTGAGGAAGAAGTTTATTTCATAGCATCAAATTAAAGAATTACTTTAAGTATTTGCATCAGTACATCGACCCATGTTTTTTTGGATACAGTTTCAAAAACTTCTTGTGATAAATGAAGAGGTTTTGTAAGTTCTTGAGTTAATTCAGTATCTTTTTGTTCATTCGGTATACTTGCTGATAAAGCTGTTTCACGCATTTGTACATAAACATTATATAAATCGAATGGAAGAAGATATTCTGGACGAATAAAAGCTGTACATGAACCTTGTGTTCTATGAAAAACAAAAGAAAAAAAAAACAATTCTTTGTTTTTCGGTCTAATAAATCAAGATTATAAATTGATAAAATACTTTAAAAATAATAATAATAAACGATGTTGCCATAAATATTGTTTTGTAGCTTCATCCATTTTTTTTGGTGGTACAGAATTTTGTGGTATACCTGGTAATGCATGTCCACTTAAATGTGTTATCATATCATAAATTGTTTTTTGTTCTTCTTTTGCATTTTGTTTGGTTCCAACTGTTTCAAATAGTCGTTTAAATAATGCACTATAGAAAAAGAAACAAAAAACCAAACGTATTTCAAGCAAAAAAAAAAAAGAAATAAGATAAATTTACTTTCGAAATGATTGAGGAATTTTAACAGAATGTGTACCTTTAGGCCAACCTTGATTCGAATACCATCGTTCAAGTGTTGATACAAGCCATTGAAATGTTTTTGAATCATTATCCAAATATGGAATTGAAACAGCATTTAATTCTTGACTAACAGTTGTTGCTTGATGAAATGTATTTGATGAACCAGAACGAATACGAGCATAAGGTGTCTGAAATATTTAATTCAAAAAACAAAAGATAAATAATTTTATATAGAATTTCTGAAATGAGAAGGAATATACGATGGGTTTTTTTTGTGATATATTATCAAGTTGATTATAAATAAGTTGTCGAATTTTCGACCCTTTGACCTTTTTTTCTATTGCGAGTTCTATTCAATAAGTAGTTCTAGAACATTTTATAAGCAAATGAATGAAATAGGTTTTTTTTCTTTAAATAAAAGTCAATAGAAAGAATACTTTAAAAAAAGGTTTCTAAGACATTCCATACAATAATTCTCAAGTGACTTTTTCATAATGATGAAGTAGTGACAAAATTAAATTACGGAACCTTGATAATAATGATGTGCTGCTGTTCGCTATATGCCAAGAAGATATTCCATATGTAAAAAAATGCACATTCGAGACCAACTGAAGAATTTCACTTCGAAAACGATTCATCTGACATTATCGAAAAAACATAGTCGGAAAGGTGTCTAATTGTAATAAAAAGTTTTATAAGAAGATATATTCGAGATTGAATCATTGTTTAATTTTTAGTCATACTGATTTAATCTGACATATTATATTATTTTTATCGATTTTTAATTATGAAATTAGAACGGACATCTTAACATGATAAAAATTACTTTACAGATTCTTTTTTCTGATTTTAAAATGTAAATTTTTCATTTTTCGATCTGACAACTTTGACTACAAGTATAAATTAATATTGATCAATTGAAAATTATGCTATTATTTTTCATTAAGACTTTTCTGGATTAAAAAATTTTAATTAGTATTTTTTAGTTATTCTTTTATAGATCTAAAAGAATATTTCTATTAAATCTTTTGATAACTATATCAAATTTTGAATTGTAATTAATCTTTTTAAACTTTAACTCTAATTAAAGTTGCTTAAAACAATTTAATATCTAAATCCAACATACCGTAGCTGTCAAAATTATCCAATTAGTAGATAGTTTTCTTTTTCTTTTGTGTATATCTCAAAGGCTAGATGAGCTAAAATGATCTGGTTTTCGTCAAATTACATCTCATAATCTCTGGTATACTTAGATCAATCCTTTGATCTGTTTAGTTCTTATTGACGATAAGCTTATTTTTGCAAATTGTTGCGAGACTGTTATAAGTTAATATTTCTTCTATGATATATGATTCAATAGAAGAAACTCTGTTCTACATAAGGAATGCTTTTTTATCATAGGTTTTCTTTGAGTAAAAGTAAAAAACCAATGTTTTTTTTTTATCCATATCAGAAATTGTTACGAAAAACGTAACAAAAGATAATTTGTTTTTCATATAATGTTTAGCCAATATTAACATCAATCACATATAGACCTTTTTGTACGAACTCATTCACGCAGTGGAGAAGATATAAAAAATTGTTTTCACAGCATAGATTCGCAAAGAGTCTTTTTCTATAAAAAGCTGTTATATTTGAAATCAAAATTGATTATATCACTTAAGTTATATACCTTTGTTATGTTATAAATAGCAGGAGTAAAAACCTTACCATAATTCAAGCAACAACTTATATGTAGATCTCATCAAATACATAACTAATTTTTGAGGATCATGTCTGTACAGATAGAAGATAAAAGTTAAAACAATGAATCATGTTAAGTTTGACTTGACATGTCTTTGTTTGATGAGACACATATCTATTCTACTACTGAGACTACGATAAGCTTTCTACGCCTGCAATGTATAACGTAATAAAGGCATATAATTTGAGTAATATAATCGGTTTTAATTTCAAATATAACAGCTTTTTATAGAAAAAGACTCTTTAAGAATTCACACTGTGAAAACAATTTTTTATACCTCCTACAATGAGTGAATGAGTTCGTACAAAAAATTCTACCTGTGATTGATGGTAAAACGAGCAAAGCATCATATGAAAAATGAATTGTCTTTTGTCATGTTTTTTCTTGACAGTTTCCGATATGACTCCTAAAAACATTGGTTTTTGACTTTTACTCAAAAAACAGTCACGATAGAAAGTACTTCTAATGTAGAGCAGAATTTGTTCTATCGCATCATGTATCATAAAGGAGATTTCAACTTATAACAAGCTCGCAACAATTTTCAAAAAAAAAGTACTTGAATAATTTTGAAAGGATGAAAAACGACACGCTGTGATTATATCATTAATTAAAACTCAATAGATCAATGGATTAATTTGGAATTTTTTGCATCAGTAGACTAGCAACTATAGACTTTAATTTGACGAAAATCAAAATCAAATAAAATTATTTGTTTATTGAATAGTTTTAACAGCTTTTGTATAAATGTGTAAGTTTTTCTTAGCTATTAAAAATTTAAATTTTTTAAGTTGTTGTTGATTTTATGCGCTAGTTAAGTTCTATAACAATCGTATAATATTAATAACGGGTACAACAAAGTAAATAACTCTTTCAGTATTTTTTGATCGCTCAACCAGTTCTTGCCTTTTCGAAATTTTTCTTTCATAACAAGATTCAATTTTTAATTCTCTTTAAAACTGTATATTCTTATTAATGAATGAATGTTTACAAATTTTCTGAATAAAAACGTACTCGAATATAAACTATTATCCTGTTTAAGCTTTTTGCAAAAGTTTCAGGTGATGTTATATTTGACTCTATAATCTATTTTCATTTATCATTGGTAAATGTCCATTGAAAATGAATAATCTAACTAATTTGTTCATTGATTATTCTGAACATAATAATGCAACTTATTTCATGAATTTCGATGTATTATTTTACAAAAAAACGTTCTAATGCTATATAATCCATGAATGTTTCAATGTATTATTGGTCATTGAACAACTATTTGAACACAATGCATTATTTTCTTATAATAAATTAAACGAAAAAAAAAATTGATGAAAATTATTTGTTCTTTCTCATGAATTTTAATGTATTTATGTCATAAAATAAAAATAATCCATTACAATACATTGAAAAACTCATGAATTATAGAATATCAGCATATTATTTAACAAATAATGTATGAAAATTGATGAAATAGGTTGCATTACCATATAATTATAATCATTATCTATGTATTCTAACATCCATTATATCTTATTAATTTTTAAAATCAATGATGCAGACATCATTATTAATGTAAATGATGATATGTTAATTTGTGTTATTATATTTGAATCTTCTGTAATTATTAAACTTCTTGATGTTATCATTTATAAGAGTATATATAGTACTCTGATTTAATAAACTTTTGGCAGAATTATAATTCATATAAGTAACTGAGAATTTTTAGCTATGAAATAAGCAGCAACAAAACCGACATAGAAGTCATATATGGATTTATGTCGATAAAGATCATTAGTTTTCAAATAGTTAATGCTCAAATTTGTTAGATTATTCCAATTTCAATCAACATTTACTCTAATAACAAATGGGAATAGATTATAGAGTCAAAAATAAGTGTCATAATAAATTGATTTCTTTCATTAATAAAAATCTACAGTTTTATAGACAATTAAAAATTAAATCTTTTGATAAGAAAAAAGAATTTGTTTCTAAATGACAAAAAAAAAATCAGATTGAGATATTTCAAAGAAAAAAAAAACATACTAAAATGATTATTTATTCTATTTTACTCATTAGAATTTTATTTACCGGAGAACGTTCATTTCGATTTTGTGCTGATATATTTTCATCTGTTGATGTTTCATCAGATGTTTGATCAATTGGATCAAATGTTGCACTTGTACTTGTATTTGGTCGAGAATTTGAACTTGTTGCTGTACGTTTTTGAACTAAAAGTGGTTCACCTATTAATTAAAAATAATTTAATATCGATTTGATATACAAAAAATAAAATTTATTTATTCATACCACTTGAATTACTTTCATCAGATCTAATTCTACTTCCTTTCATAATTTGACCTGGTTGTACAACAATTTGATAATCATTTTCTGATTTCCATAAAAATGAATAACATGTAAATATTGAATTATCAGCTGTAACATAAACTTCATATTCAAAACTGACAAAAAGAAAAATACAAATAAGCCAACAAAATTAATTTCAAACAAATAAAAACAACTAACCTATTTCTTTCTTCATCAATTATTTTAACAATAAGTTTTTCAGAATATGAATGATTACTACTAAAAAATATTTTCATCGTAAAATCTTGTTGTTTATCAACAGTAACTATTGCTGGTTCAACAAATGATGCATGAAATTCATATGAAACATCTATTGGTTTAACATGAGATAAGATAATTAATTTTGTATTTCTAATTTAAAAGAGAAAAAAAAACCAATATCAATAATGAATTTTGTTTATTATTTAAACTTACTTTTCAAAACCTTTTGTTCGTACACGAACTGTTCCAACACTTTCAATATCAAGTGGTACTGGTGGAAGAATTAAACGTCTTGGTTCAAATATTAAACTTGGCATAATTAATTCTCCAATTAATTCAATATATGTATAAGGTATTTGTTGATTATGATTTATATAAAATGGTATACGTGTTTTATATATTCCAGGTTTTTTTGGTATAAAATTAATTTTAAATGAAAAAATTTCTTTGGGTTCAATTTCACTTTCTGGTCCAATATTTGTTGATGGACTTATAAATGGTACAAGTGATGAATGTACTACACGAAATATATCATTATCTAATGTTATATTATCACGTAAATCAAGTTGCCAATGAATTTTTTTTTTACTATTATTTATTAATATGATTTCTTGACAATCACAATAAGCACCTTGTTTCATAGCATTATATTGTGTTGAATACATTTGAAAATGTAATTCTTTTGTTGATAATTGTAAACAATCAGATAATGCTGTTGCACGTATACGACGATTTATAGGTGGATGTGATGGTTGTAAGGCTTTTTGTTCACTTGCACTTAATTCACGATGATGATGTATAGCTGATGAAGGTTTTGATGCTTGTGATAAACCTTCAACATTAACTAATGGTGGGCATGTACGAATTGGAAGAAGAAAATCATAGAAAGCAATCTTAAAAAAGACAAAGAAAAACGTAATAAAGAAATGTGAAAAAAGAACAAATATACTTCAGCTGGAACAAGAATAAGTTCAGCTTCAATAGATTCATTTGGTTGAACAGTTATACTATAAACTTGACCATTTTGTGTACAACATTGTTCATTACCTATGGATTAAATTAGAATATACAAAAAAAAACAGATTTAAATAAAAAAAATCCTTTAATGTTTACCAATAGGTGGATTTGTTTTTATACTAAAATCGGGATATTTTGAAAGATTTATTTCAACAATACCTTTGACAGTGCCCTGGAAAATAAACAGAAAAGACATGAGTTTTACTATTAAATATTTACATCTATCTTTGAGATAGATCAAAGTTTTAAGTTAAACATTTTTAAATTATGTTCGTGAGAAAATATTAATATAATTCACTTTAAATTGTATATATTTATAGTCAATTCATTTTTAATCATGTAACAAACATGATAGATAGCTTTCTGATGCTATTACATAAATTTCATTATGAAACTCTAAGTATACTTAGAGTTTTTGATATATCATAAAGTTTTTCAAGAAATATTTCCGATAATACTTATGTTAAGAAAACAACAATGAATACTAGTGAAGGATTCGTGTAATAGAAATTAGAATCATATTTATCTAGGCTTATTTCGATACATGTGTATATAAACGATTATTACAAATAATTAAATTAAGTTTTAAAGCATATCGAAATATATGTATATATATATTTTTTTTTTTTCTACATTCAATTAGCATATTATATATTATGGATTGCAATTACAACAAAACAAATGAACATATTGGTCTTTTTTTCTTTTTTATTTTCTTTTAAACTATATTTTTCATTTATTTAATGAAAATAACAGATTAATAAAATGGCCATGAACTACCATCACATGGAAGACAACTGCAACTTTCACATCCGCGAAAATCAGGTTGACTACCGCACATGCATGGAGCGAAGCATAACATTGGAATACAGAATGGATTGGATAATGGAAATTTATTTGGAAATGATATAGCACGACGTTGATCTTGAACAGATGCAGCAGGATTAGCCGAAATCAAAAGAGTACCACAGAGAAGAAGAGAAACAAGAATGGCAATGATTTGATTACGCATGATAATAACTAATAGTAGATTCTTGTGTAATTTTCAAAACGAATAGTTCGTTGTCGAGTTTAGCATCAGTATTTATTCGGTTAATAAACCACCAAGTCAGCTGACAATATTCTCAAATAGATACACCTCCGCGCAAGTTATTGATATCATAATCGAGAGAAAATAAAACAAAATCACAAGTAGCAATCTAATATCATTATGATTAAATTTGTCCTTAAGCTTCATTGAAAATTTTCAATCAAAATCTAAGTATCTGCTAAACCATACGAAGAATGTCATACAAAAAACAGAATTTTAGTAATCAAGTTGTTTTCTAAATATAGCAAATTTTCTAGCTTTCAACATAACAGCAACAATACAATTAAATATTTGTACTATAAATACATTTGTATACATCCATCAAAATATAACCATATCTTATCATCAAACTTAGTGTTGATTTATATACATAAGCAAATATATTTTAACTAGTTGACAGAAACTTTATTATTCTTCATATATACTGATTCAACCATCGCATATTTCTAAAGACAAATATGTATTTTTCCGACGCATATTCTCTTTAGATTCATATCTAATCTATTATTACTTAATAAGCTTTTCTATTTTAAGTATTAATTGATCATCATTAGATAGCAATAGATAAATACTCGCTACAGTTTTTTTCCCTAACATTATTTCTATCATTTTAAATCATGCAGCTAACACGTATATTAACAATTGTATTCTTTCTTGGCCTTTTTTTAACTATTGTCCTATCGGATTTAATACAATCGGACATAAATAACAATGATCATGATTTAAGCAATGACAATCATATTATATCCCGACGAAGTATATTTCGCCATAAACATCAGCATAATTCGGGACAACCACGTCGATGTGTTCGCTGTAAACTTAGTCTTGCTCGTTGTTGTTCACCAAATATTTGTGTTAAAAAACATTTTCGAATGGATAAATGTCTTCGTGTAAAAGGTTAAATATTGTGTGAATTTTTTTTTTTGTCTCACGAATAAAAATACAACATGTTTGCTGTGCTTAATGAATTTTATTGAAACACCTAAAGTCATACACATATATAAATCAACTCGAGATGATCTCATCTATTTTTTTCTAGACAAATATCTAAACTTTTTACTTGTTTCAGCAATTAAATTAAGAATAACTCCTTTCGTGAGGCAAAATTTTTGTTTTTTTCATTTTTGTAGTCATTGTATAGTTTGAATTAGTAACTATCTATTCATCCAAAAATTGTCTTTAAACTTTAACAAATTCGAGAAATCATATTAGTGAAAACTGGGCATTGTTTTGCGTTTTTTCTCAAACCAACTATTTTATGAGCAAAAAGTGCAGAAACGTCCTCGTTTCTCCTGTCTAGTATTTTGCACATATACAATACACTATTTGGGATGGATAACTTTTTTTTTATTTAAAAAAAAACCATGGGTTTTTTTAGAGTACCTTCAATATTTTAGTTTTTGTTATTTGCAGAACAAAAAAATTCACCTCAAACGGTATCTAACGCCTACAACGACATTTTCAGCTCGATCAAGCATAACATCTCAGAAAAGCTGGAGGAGGGTGAAAATTAGGGTCATTATGACCTCAGTATCTCATAGAAGAGAGCATTCGGAAACTTTAAGTCTGTGACAAATTTTGCTCTAATCATCGAGATCTATCTAATTTTTTTGATGAACTTGTCGCCAGAAACATCAGAAAGTAGGGGAGGGAGGTAAGGTCTGGCGGATTCAAAATTTTCGAACCCGTACTTTGATACTCTCAGTGAAATTTTCTAATCGAAATTGGATAATCGCTCCGAAGAGACGACATACTTTTTTCCAATTTCTTTGTACTTGGTGACTAGTATATCCTACACATTTCCTAGATGACTAGAGTTCATCGAGTCCGAGATCAAGCTGTCGAACTCTAGGAGGTACCTTTAATAGAAAAAAACAATTTCTTTTTCGCCTACTTTATTTTCAATATGAAATTGTTTTGTTGCTTTCATTAATATTGGTACACCACCAAAATTAAATTCATCTTCAGGAATATTTAAATCTGGTTCAATAACTTCACCTGTCATCCGAATTTCTTGTTCTTTTTGTCCAAGAACTTTTAAACCAAATTTAATATCGAATTTAATTAATTCAATTGGTGTTACTTCAATTGTTATACTTGTTTGTGAACCAGCTGAAACAAGACCATTTGCTGGATTTATAACAACACCAGAACATGGATTTGGATCAGTTATCTTAAAAAACAAAAAAACAATTAAAAAATTTCTCTGATAAAATAAAAATAAATGAAATAATTATACTTGATAAAAAAGATGATTTGTTCCTTCATTAACAATAGTAAATGATTTTTTTGATGTCATATTTATTGGTATTAAACCAAAATTAACACGTTTTTCTGGAATTTTAAATTTTGCTTTACCAACTTGAGCAATACATTGAAGTGTTAGTGTTGTTTCATTATTTGGTGTTATTGAAGAACTATTTGCTGGTACTTTTCGTGAATCATTCGTTGAATAAACATGTAAAGTAAAAAAATTTTCTAATGGTGCTTGTGTACTACCATACCAAACAACTTCACTGTCAATTGTTTGATATGGTTCAATAACTCCTAAAAGAAGTTTTTTTTTTTTTTAATGAAATAAAATTAAAAGAAAAGAAAAAAGAACCTGTTGCTGGACGAATTGAAAACGCTGTTCCTTTTGGACCAATAATAGGTATCCAACGAAATTCAGCTGGTGCATTTAATGGATTATATAAATGAACAACTTTACGAAATGAATCTTCAGCTAACAGATGTGATAATGAACGTATAAGAAGTTTTTCTGTTGATAATTGTACTGTTGGTACACGAACATCAGCTATTATTTTAACATAATGACGATAAAAATTATTAATTATATATGAGAGTGAACGTTGATAAAGACCAATTTGTGTTGGTTCAAATGTTATTGGAAATTGTACATGAGATTTTCCTGGTATAACTTGACATAATGGTGATGTCATTTTTAAAGCAGCTGAATCAACCTAAATGAAATGTTTGTTGTTGTTTTTTTTAAGTAAAGAAAAAAATTTTCAAAAAGAAAAATTACATACATCAATTTGAACGAGAATATATTGATCAAGATTATTAAGAACAGATAAAAATTTTGTTACAGGTGCATTAACACAAACTTCACCAAAATTTAATTCTGGTGGTCCTGAATAAAAAAAAAAAAAAGAAATTTATTATTATTGAAATAAAAACAGTGACAACAAAAACAAACCAACAACAATTTTAAATAATTGACTTGGTGATAAAAGTATAGCACAATCATTTTTTTCTCTTTGTGTTGTTGGTACTGAATTAAGACCTTCTTTTAATGGTTTATGTAATAATGTTTGTTCTTGTTCAGCTAATTCAGATGTTGTTGGTAAACGATATTTCCAATTGGGATAAGATGGAACTTGAATATAGTAAAAAGAAAAGGAAAATAATAATTTCATAAATTATATTTATTTTTAGATGTATAGCATTCATGATAGAGAGAAAAAGCAAGAAGTGTAGAAGTTTTCTTTACGTCTATAATCTGTTTCTTTTTTTTTCTTTCTGCATTTCATTTTTTATTATTCCTTTTTTGTTCTACCTTTGACTTTTCTTCTCGGCTGAAAAATCCTATATTTAAATAGTATAGAACATTTTTCAAATTAACTTACGCTTTAATGCTTCATTTATTACTGAGAATAAATAAATAAATAAAAGAAAAGTGTTCTATCATGAAGAAATTAATTAGCAAATGAATTTTATTGAAATATCTATGATTTTATATTGAATTTGAACGTAAAATAAATGTTTTTTTCGAATTACTTTTTTTTTAAAAGAAGATAATTGCATAGAATGTTCTCTTACTTATAGCTTTATTAACATTTTTTTCTACATCCTGTAAAGTAATATGAGGTGAATCAAGTCCATTGCCTGGCTTTATTCCAAGATCTGTTTCATTATCATATTTTTTATATTCTCTAAATGTTTAAAGAAAAAAACAAAAAAAGAAAATTATTATAAATTATTCTTTAAATTGGTTTTTTTTTTCAATTTACTTTGTTCTTTTAACTTCTGATCGTTGATATCTTTGTTCATCAAATAATTGATTATACATATTTTCATGCATTTCAATTTGTTTTCTTTCTTCATCTGTATATGCATAATCAGGATCAATATAATTATATCGTTCTTCTTTAGTAAATGGTGTTCTGAAAGAACAAAAAATAAAAATAAAAAAGAAATAATACAATCATTTCTTTTTATTAAAAAAAAAATCCTACATAAAACTATCTTCTCGATTAAATGGACCAATACTTCTTGCACGATCATTTGGAAATGATACTTTATGTTTTTTAAAATTATTTAAATATGTAGTTGATGCACGTTTATTATGTATTGTATCATTAGCACTATTTAAAACAGCTGCACGTGGATAAAAACGTTTTAATGAATCTTGTGTTGTATTCACATTAATACCAACTTCATTAGAAATTATTGGTTTAAGACCTATAGAAACACGGAAAAAAAAATCCGAACATATATAAAAAAAATATAATGATTCAATTATTTACCCATATTAAATTTTTCTGCTGGTATTTCAGTAATAACTGCTGCATCACCCGTTAATAAACATTGTGTTTGATGAATAGGTTTTGATTGTGTATAAACTGGTGCATTAGGATTTACAACTGCACCCAATACTTCACATATAAGTGTTTTATTAATATTACCTAGAAAATTATTAAAAAAAACCAATTGAAATTACAAACAAAAACAAAAAGAATTGAATTCAAACAAACCGATTTGATGTGGAATAAATGTAACAAGAATTTTTAATTTTTCTCGTGGTTTTAATTTTCCACTTGCTGGTTGTATAGCAAAATTTGCAATTGATGGAAAACGAAAATCAATTGATTTATGATCAGATTGATTATAAATATGAATAAATTGTTCACTTTTTTGTCCAATATATGTTAGTTGATATTGTAATGCTTGTGGTTCAAGTGATAATATAACTGGTAATGCTGTACCAGCTACAGCTATTTCAAGTTTTGTTTTACTATGTTCAATATTTGATAGACCAGGACTTGCACCTAACAATTCAAAATACATGAAAGCAGCTATATCACGTCTTGGTGGTAAATCAAGTGTAGTAGCAAATGCTTGTTTTGGCGGATAAGTTCTATTTAATAGAAAAAAAATAGTTATAACGGGTGATCGGAAAGTTTTTCGATAAGATGTTTGTTCACTTTTGACGCGGTAGAAAGTATTTCCGACGAATTAAAAACTATGAGTTAGAATCAGAATTTTATGTTCTTTTTGAAATAGTAAAAGTACAAACGTGTTTCGTTCGAACTAATTTTTTGAACTTTTCAAAGGTTATTTCACTACTCTCGAACAAAATTTCTAAGTCGATATTCAAAAAGAACACAAAATCCTGGTCCTCTATGTTATGATTTTTGACTCGTCGAAAATACTTTTTAGTGAGTCAAAAGTGAACAAACATGGCATCAAAAAATCTTATACCTTGGACTAAAACGAAAGAATAATGGACGTTTTTCAAATGGATTAAGTATGCCTTGATTTGGAAAAACAGTAATTATAGAATTTAATGGATTCATTGTATATTCAACATAAGATGTTTCTTCTTGATCTAAATCCTACAAATAAATATGAATTAGATTTTTGTTATGAAAATACAAAAATTATTAAATCCGTACTGTTGGTTTTGAATCATCGATTAATGCTGAATAAGCAACTGATTCAGGTGAATCATTATATAAAATAGCTAATGCTGTAAGATCACAACCATAATAACACGAGCCAAAATTAAGTTTTTGTAATTCTTCACTAGTTTTTGGATGTAATAAACATAAACGACGATTCATTATTTTTCCTATTAATTTTATTTCATGTGTTTTATGACATGCATCTAATCTAATAAAAACCAAGAAGCAAAAAAACAACAATTTTTTTTCAAATAATTGTTCAACCTACGTAGCAGTGTCATTAATTTCTGTTACCATTGATGTTAATAAAGATACCTTTGATTTAAAAAAAAAACATTATTTTCAAATATATTAAAATTAATTTTTCAAATTGTTATTTTCTTAATATTACCTCGACCGTAATAGAAGAATTTGGTTGGATAACTGCTGAATGTGGTGAAAATCCAATTGGATGTTCACCTTTATACTCAATTTTATATGGTGCAGCTGTACTACCAGTATTTCGAACAAAAATCGTTTTATAAACAGTCTTATTATCAGCAACATGAACACCAAAATCGATTAATTCTAAATAAATAAGATTTTTTAAAAAAATTTTTGATTTTAGAATAAATATAATTACAGAAATAAACATTATTTTTCTATATTTAGTAATCAAAGTTAAAAAAAAAAAACATCATACCATCAACTGAAATTTCTGGTCGTGCTGGAAAAGCAAATAGAGGAATTTGTATTTCTTGTCCATCAATGTCAACAACAATAATATCACGTTGTTCTTGATTAGATTTTGCTACATATTCAACAACACCTGTCACTTCAAGACCAGGTGGAACAGGTTGATCTGGATTATTAACAATTAATTGAAAATCCTATAAAAAGAAAAAAATTGAAATCTATTTTTAAAATTTAAAAAAAAAAAAGAAAAAAAAATTAACCTTGATAGCTGGTCGAAATATTTGTATACGTTTACTTTTATTTCCTACATTTTTAACATGAATTGTTTGTCGATATGCATTATTTTGTATTACATGTGGAAATTCAATTTCATTTGGTTCAATAACAATTCCATGTTCTTTATAACGCATTTTTTTTTTGAAATACTTTGTTTATTGAATATAGCAAAAAAAAGATACAGTGTTTTTTTTTATTAAATTTCGTTGATAGGAACATCAACCATATTAAAAACTCGATGTTAAGCAACGTCCTCTATGTATGTTAGTAAATATTTGTTCGACACATTAATGCATTTGCACATAATCAATTCGAGAAAACTTCGTTATACTCGATGTCCACACGTGTTTATTTTGATCATGTGTTCTATTGTGGAATTACACATGCACTTAGACAAAAGTTCATGGTTATTGCGCATGATGAGTTGTTATTGAACATTAGAATTTTCTCTTGTTCATTGATTAACATCGATAGGTCAGATAGATCACGTGCATTGAAGCAGTATGTATGTTTAAGAATCACATGGTTCTATCGATTATGGATGAGTCAGAAAGAACATTTTTTGTATTTGACGTTTCTATTGGAAGCATAAGAATTTTGTTATTGTTATTATTGTTGATTTGCGACAATGACAAACGTAATTAACCAGAATAGGAAATTTTTGTATTTCTAGATTTCACTACATTTAACAAAAAAACTAAAGAAGAAAATAATAATATTAGAATCATGAACAAATCATTTCAAAGTTACACATCAGGTAAAATAAATTCAAAACGAGTCTTTTGTTTTTGTTTAATCGATTAAATATTTGTTCTTTTTTTTTTTGTAGATCCATGGATTGATCTTCAATCAGAAGAAAAACAAATAATGTCACCATCAACAATGACAAGTTCATTTGCTGATAGAGATCTTACATCAAGTATGCATATTAATGAACATTTATTATTAGAAGCACAAAAAGAATCATCTCGTGTTGGTTCCAAAGGTTCACAGAGTGATAGGTAAAAGAGTTTTTATTGATATAAATTTTTTGTTTCCTTCTGTAAAAAAAAGAAAGACAAAATTTATTTTAGTTCATCACCAAAAAGCCCTAAAAGTCCTGTGCAAACGGATCGAAATGTTGCCGAGTGGATGTCATATTGGTCATCACGTATTGAAGCTGAACCACCAAAGTAAAAAAAGAAAAACAATTCAAGTTTTTTTCTTTTTTTTATTAATTTCTTAAAAAATAAATTTTTTTTTGTTTAAAGAGAATGGAAATTTGTTCATCCAATAAACCGAAGCGTACGTGATCAATTACTTTTTGAAGATGAAGAAGAAAAAGCAGCTAAAGAAGCTGAAAAGGCATTAATTGAAAAAAAACGTATGCGTTATCTTATTTTAAGTAATTGTGCTAGTTTTATTCTTGGCATGGGAATGTAAGTTTAATTAGAAATTATGAAAAAAAATATATTATGTTTTTTTCTTTTTAAGAATGTATTTATGTTTACGTCGTTATCTACGCATGAAAACGCCTTATTTTTATGCATTAGACTAAACCAATTAACAAATATTTTACTTTGTACATAAAAACATTTATTGAATTGACACATACATATATATATATATATATATATACATATATATACAAAAAAAACAAATACGTTTTTTCTTTTGCTTTTATGTTTGTCAACTACAGTTTTCCTTTTTTTTTTATTTGCAAATAATTAAAAACATTTGTGTACATATATATATCTGTATATCGAGTCATAAACTCACGAAACATATTTACATTTATATGAACATTCCTCATATTTCTCCTTTCTTCTTTTCTCTTTGGTTTTACAACAACTATTTGTTTTTTTTTTGTTTTGTTTTGTTATTTATTGTTTTACATCAACGAGTTCATCTATATGGGAGGTATATGTATTTGTGAATAATTTAATGAAATTGTGTTGGGAATCTATCGAAATAGATGTAGTAGATTGGGTTGGAAAAAGGATCATTCATATATCTGTACTATATTTTATGTATATATATGAGTTTTTCGTTCATCTTCTTCTTCTTCATTACTTTTAAGAATGCATGAAAATACCACTAACACACACATACAGGTTTTTTTCTTCTCTTTTTTATTATTATTCATTATTGATATTATAAATAAATATATATTCATTGCTGAAATGAACATTTTTATTACATTTATTTTAAAATTTAGAAATATTGATGATTATGGTCACAGAAAGATTGAAGGTCTTCTTAGAGTCAAGTGAGAACATTTGACATGTTACATAATAGATACACACATTTATATATTAATTTTTTCTATACATCAATTATTTTAAAGTATAAATGTTCGATGATAATTTATTTAAAAAGAATAATATTGGTCAAGTATTGTATGATGAAATTCGACTTATTTAATTTGACTAGATAGAGTGAACATTAAGATCGATTGAATTTTACAAAGCATTGATTGTTTCCATGACACTGCATGAGCAGTGTATGATATGTTATTGTTATTCAATATTTTATTACAAGGTTGCATAATATATAAAGTTACCTGTCAGAAAAAAAATTTTAAGAATATTATACGTTGTTTTCCTATATTGGAAACTCTTCAAGCTTTTCAAATAGAAACATTTCTGAAAAAATCGAAAACCCTTAATAGTGTCCAAAAATGTTACTATCGGAAAAGTTAAAAGAGTTTTCGAACTTTTTGAAATCGATTTGCAATTTGAAGAAACTTTTAAAGATTTCCGGGTTCATCCTGAAAACCTTTCTGACATAAAAATGTTCAGAAACGATCTTTCTAGGTTTTCCACAGTACTGAATTTTCTCGTGGAGTGTAATGTACTAGAAAAAAAATGAATCATTTTTTAACTAGTTCGATTTGTTAAATATATAGGAAAGTAGTGCTATAATTAGCATTTTTTTTCTTTTGCTGTTCCTTTCGCAATTGTTATCTTCTATTAGCGAAGAACTGTTATCTTACGATGATTTGTCAAAAATGTTTTGTTCGCCAATTTCTACTCTATGTACTTCTGATTACTATCTGAATATACGCACAAGACAAAGAATAAAAATAATGATTTTGTTCTTTAAATAGTAAGATCCAAGATAAAGAAAGGTAAATTCTTCATTTATTGTTTTCATTAAATAAACGATTGCCACTGTTATCTTTCTAATTAGTTTCGTTAATATCATATTTCCTTGAAGATAAATTTATACATATTTCTTATTGATAACTTTTTTTTTTCTATGTAATACACATACAATGCTAGTAATCACAAAAAAAACGATATATGTTAGAACCGATTCCAATTGATTTCTCCATAAAATCATATTCAATTTCACAATTAAAATACTTTCTGGTGGAATAATTAAGTTGTCAGATCCGAATCTCTTACTTATAATTTACTTCTACATATAAACTTCTCGCTTCACAATAATGTCGTAACTCATATATAGGATAGTAACAGAAAGGAGAGCTCAAACCATGAAAGACTTCATAGTTTATGAAAAAGGAAAGGAAGTCTTATTGATGATGACCAATAACATGAGAAGTTCATCAAACGTACATGACAGGAAAAGAAAATCCGCGAGGCATGCCTGACAATCAGAGAAAAGAAGACAAGCAGAAGTACATGCTTATAATCACATAGATAACGAGAAAAAGTCTTATAAATTCATCGGAAGTAAATGCAGGCCATTAAATAACTTTGTTTTTATTCTGATAGCTTTTTTCGACTAAGAAATTCAACGTTATTGACACAGAAGCAAAATATAAATAAAAAAAGAATATCCAGTTTTTTCTAAAAAAATCCACTAAAACTTTCGACTTTCAAACGAGCAAATTATCGAATCAACACAATCATGCATTTCATTTTTAAGTCAAGACAAGAACAGAATTTTGAATGATCTTTCTGCAGGACGACAGTCGATAAGAACATATTTCGCTTCAAAATGTTTTCGAAAAAAAAAGTTCATCTTAGTTCGACGTTAAGAGAGGGTCCATGAGAGGATCAACGATCAATCCAGTATACGAGGCACTGGTCAAAATTTTAATTTTTGATTTTTTATGTGCATTCGAAAGGGCGTCATCTAAAACCACCAAATCCAAAATTTTAGCTCATTTGGATTTACTATAGTAAAGTTAGCCCGGACCGACTTTTGAGTACTACCAACGTACTATCAAGAAAATAGGTATAAATCGTTCCATAAATCTCTATTAGGATTATGCTTCAACAAGCCAGAGGATTTTTTCATGCAATATACCAAAAGGTAGAGGATCAATAGCTGAAAAAAGCGAGCTATTTAAATTACTAGATATCATCTATTTACTGGGATTCTCTAGTTCAACATTCACAAAAAGTCCACAATTTATGAGTCTATAATGGTCGATGCTGGGTAGTATATCTGCTGCCACCTTACGAACTCAAACGGGACCACACTAAGTTTTTTATATCTTATGCAACTTTCGATTCTCTACAAAACGATAAAAAAATTTTAAAAAAATACGTTCACCTTTGAGACGATATGGGGCTTACAGATCAGCACAACAGTCGATTTTCCACTATGACTTCCAATAGATGCCAAAAAATTTAGCAAAATATGTTCCCTTCTTATATAATTTATACATATTCTGAAAGAGGACACTCAGGGCAACTAGAATATGTGTTTTTTCAAAAATCGAGTTTTTCAAGAAAAATCGACTTTCGGAGGGGGTTCCCCCTTAAGTGAGGTTTATATAGACCCACACTGAAAAACTAGTAATAATGAACAAAATTAAGGTTAGTTCGGCGTGTGTGGATAGTGTATCAAAGACTACTTTTTGATAGAAAGAATAAACAGAAAAGCAAATGATTTGATACATGTTTACTCAAACATATTTCAGTCTTTTATTATTTTTCTTTCTGGATGTTTTTTCAAAGTATATATTCGTAGAATCACCACTTATAAGTACTTCTTATCAATGTGTCTTGTCAGCAACGACTAGAATTAGTCTATCGATCTACCGGAGATAGTCCACTATTCTTTATTAATGCAAACTCAAAAGGCCAAGGTTAATCCCTGTTTAACATTAGTTTATTTTGTTGGTTGATTTACGAAGTGAAGACATTACGAGCAAGTTAAAATTTTAATAAAGTATCTTTTATATTTAATAATAAAATTTTTTTGTTTTAAAGGTATTATTGTTATTTAATTTATTTAAATATAAATAAGTCAAAAAAAAAACAGACAGAGAAAACCAACATTTTTTTTTCATACAAAAAACACAATTTTTATATTTTTGAAAATAAATATTTAAACGTTTAATGCATCATTATAATATTTGTATCCACATTTTTCGCAGTTATTTTTTGTTGATGCTCTTGTAAAATTAAAAGTTACACGTTGTAATTGATAGTATTCCACAGTAATTAAAAAATTGTTTGATAAACATGTCTTTCTATCAAGTAAAAATTGTTCGATGTAATCATCATGAGCATCATCAAAATTTAATCGAGTTAAATGACAAAATTGAGCAATTGGTAAATTTGTTTCTTCATTTTTTTTTTCGTTTTGTGGTTTTTGATTAGTTAAAGATAAACTTTCTACAAATGGAAATGATTGAGATATTCGAATGAAAAATTCATGTTCAAATGGATATTCATCACATAAAGAAATTTTTCTAACAAATTTATATATTCCACTTTGAAAATTATTTGTTACATTGTAATAAAATTTCATTTCATTTGAACATGAGTATGAGTATATATTACAATGACCCATACGACTTTCAGGATAGTAATTAATACAACAAAAACTATAATTATTTCCGACATTTTTTAATGTTTGTCGTATATCTTCATTCGAAGGTAAATCATTTGGATTATCAATAGGAATAAATGAATGTATATTAAAACCAAATTGTTTTAAATGTAATAAATAATTTATAATATTATATTTCAAATTATTACCATCAATAAATGTTTCTTTATGGACAACTACAAGAAATAGACGAAGTTTTTCTAAATTTAACATCCGATGTATAAGTGGAACAACCAATTCATCATATGCAATTGTACCAGCATCAGAAGTTAATGAAAAATATTTTAAATTAAATAATATTTCCTAAGAAAAAAAGAATTCGATTAATTTGTTTCATTAAGAAAAATTGACTCACTTTATTATTTCTTATTATTTCATCTGAATGAATACGTGAAATTCTAATACATAATGTATGAAGATTTTCAAAACGACCATCAAGTACATACAGACAATCATTAAAACTATCCACATTTATAATTAATTTTAATACATTTGCAGAAACAATACTCGGTGGTGATGAAATTTCAAATGATAGTTGTTGATGGTCAATTGAATTTGCGATAAAATTTAAATAATCTAAATTTGTAAACATTTCAAAAATTGATGTGAATATAACAGGTAATTGATCACTGAATGATCGTTGTGATTTATTATTAAACCTAATAATAAATGAAGTTATTTGGTTTTTATATATATTTAAATATGAATTATTATCTAAATAAATAAAATAAGAAAAATAACTAAATATCGAACTTCTTACCACGCAATAAAAATAAAGTCGTATTTTTATCAACATTATATACACCAAGTTTATATAGATTAGGATAAGTTGTTGAAAGAAAGATACGTTTCATAGAAGATATTTCAACATTAAGTGATTGAATCTTGTAATGAATTTCTGGTAAAATTTTTAAACAGAATAAATCCAATAATTCATTATCTAATTTACAAATAACATCATATGACCAATATTTAAATAACGTCAAATTTCTTGCGATAACTTCATCATATACAATATTATCAATTCTTCTATTTAAACCTTTTAAGTTAAACACATCAATAATATTTAATTTTGTCAATATAATCAAAAGAATTTCATCAGGTAAATCAAAGAATTGACTAGGTGATGATGTCATGTTTACATTTAAATATCAATATTTGTATATATATATATATAAATCAATAGACTGTATCTTTCAACAACCAATAATTCTATTCAAAGAATTGTTAACCAAACGATAAATCAGAAAAGATAAAAACACCAGTAAAGAGGAAGCCAAAATAAATTTTAGAAATGATTTCCTTAGTGATCATAAATGTCTGAAATATATTTTTTCCTTATCAATTTTTTTTTATTCATTAATTCTTGGTTAATTATCTTACGTACAAATTTATAAAGCAATAAATACAAAATAAAAATGATTATAGAAATATATCTAATAAAAATCAACAACCAATCTCTAAATAATATCGATTAACAAAATTTATATCGAAGTACAAATTAATAATCCTAATAAAGTTTTAAAGAAACATTTACTTTACAAGTTTTCTCAATGAAACATTCTCTTTTTAATTGAATTTTTGTATAATTTCTTCACATCACATCCGATATCGTTAAAATTATCCTAAAATAAATGTTCTTTATATTGGAAAACATATGCTGATTTGCATGAAAGTCAAAAAAAACAACAACAATGGATAATAGAAGTTATTGATACAAACAACCATCAATCAAAGGAGTTCTCTAATTTCTCTTTTGTTTATACTCATCAAAAAACATGTGCTAATATAGAAAGGAGACAAGAGAGAAAAAAATTTCCAATGGCTCGAGGATTCAATATAATCATCAATAATTTATATAAACAGAAGACGAAAATCTACTTTGATTCGAATAACTATTTGAGATAGAATGAAGACAATGGAACAAACTGTTAATTGAAAGATTAAATTATACACTAATATAAATTCAAACAATATAATTAGACGAATCGCTTGTTTAATTTGTTAAACAACTAAAGCTAAATCTTGTGATAAACCTACAAATGAACTTTTCTCTTGAAGATTCAAAGACAATTCTTTTAACAATTTGTTTCAATAAGAAAAAAGATGGTCGAATCATTCACGAAATACTGTAAGAATCTTTTTGTTATTCATCTTCTTAAATCAAATTGACTTTTTATTTGAATTTTTATTTAGATAAAAAATAAATTTAATTTATGTAAAGAATCTATTTTAAGTAATAATAATGTTCATTTTATTGATTTATCTATATACAAAATGAACCATAAAATGTTATTTCCTTAAATAGAAGATAAACAATAATATTTATTTAATGAAAATGATGATAATATCCAGTTGACAAAGATTTCTAAGATAAACAAATATTAAATACTGATATTCTTAACTCTTATTTTTATTTATTGATTAAAATTTGTTTTTGTCGTTGTTGTAACTCTTTTTCTTTATATTCATCCATCTCTTTTTTTAGTTCTGTAAGATAATATATTTTGTTTCCTATTGTGATTACAAATATAGTAACGTTTTTTAATGATCTGTACAAAAATAAAGAATTTTTTACAATGATTTATCTATAAAAAGAAATCTATTAAATTTACCCATCATTTTCATTAACATAATTATTTAATGGCATTTGCAAATGTAATTGATTATTTTCATCCTAGAAACCGAGAAGAAAAGATGAATTGAGGACAATGTGTAATAGTTGATAGTTACCGTGAATTCAATGTAAAAATTTTCATTATCAAAAAATTGTTTTGTATGTATGATGAAATTCTCTCCAAAATAATCAATATCGATTGAATTCGTTTCATTTTTTCTCAAATCGATAGTTTTCTGAAACTAAAACTATAAACGTTAATCAACTGAAAAAAAATCAATTCATTCTTACTTTGGGTATGAGCAAAGCATGTGGATTATTATTAACATTTGTTAAATTAGTTTCACTTTTTATTTCATCCATAATTTGATTATCCTATAAAGAAATATAAGTGAAACAAATGAAAAAAAGACAATTAATACTTACTTCGTTGTTCTTCACAATATTAAAATTTCTACTTAAAAAAGTCCAATGAACCAAAAGGATTAATTTTTCTTTTGGATGTTCGATTTTATTTGTGTGCATGTAAAAGAATATCAAGATATCGATAATTTTTCGTCATTAATATCTAGAAAAATAATCAATCATTCTTCATTTACATACAAAACAAAAATTAAGCTTTAAATTATAAACAAATAACAAACTTCTACATCTCAACATTTTAACTAATTATAAAATTGAGTTTATTTCATTCGATAAAAAAAATTTCAATATGAAAAACTAAATCACATTTAAATGTGAAACTTTTCAATAATATCTTTAATAACTAACTTACATTTCTTTTCTTACAATAATCTTCACTAAGACAAAACTTTTACAAAACCTAAATAAAAATGTAACATTAATTATTCATGTTCTTATAAATGAAAACAAACTTTACTTAGATAAGTTAGATCTTGGACGAGAGAAAAACGTTTATTACAGTATACACTCAATTCTATATCTTTTCTAATGTTTTGTTTGTTTGTTTATATTATGTATATATATATTGCAGATGAGTTACAATACTCGACGAATTTATAATATTCGTCAGACAAATTTGACGAAGTTGTAACTATTTTGTGTGATGATGATGTAATAAACTTCGTCTCGTCAATTTTGTCTAAAGAAGATAAAAGTTCATCGAGTAGTGTAACTTCTCTATGACACATACATATACATTAGTGTCGAGATTGACGTTATCTTCAATTTTAGATTCATTTAGGCGCATATGATAGTCAAAATTAGATGCACACTCGTTCAAGTCATTTTTTCATATAATATAGAATAGAAGTTCATTTTAAGATTAGACTTAAACAGTGAGACGAATGCTAAATTGACTTATATCTTTACCAGAATAAACACACTCTTCCATGTATTTGATGTTAAAGATCGTGCTTAAAAGTTATATTTCTATTGAGTAAGGCAATTTTAATTATAGTGAAATAAGAAAATATCATGAAGAGATAGATTTTCCACAAAAAATGAATTGAGTTGAATGCGATTGATGTCGTTAATTTTGATAATATTAACAGTTTTTATGAAATTTTTTAGAAGAAAAATATTGTTCTCTTTACATACGGATGATTTAGTTTTGCATACATATTTACAAGAACTAGTAGTTCATTGACTAGATTATAAAGAAATTGTATGGAGGCCAATGGGAAACAGCGGAGACATCGATCTTGAAGTCTTTGGAAGTCTCTGTGCTTGGGCTCTTAAAGTCGGTTATTTTCCCCTTGATGGAGATAATTATAACGGATATTTGTTTTAGATGAGATTTGTTCAGATGAATTAGTTGTTGAGGTATAACTGAAGGTTTTACAAGTGATTCGAATCATGAATATTGATTGATGGCACCCAACGTACCATATCATTTATTTTTTTATGTCATGACGTTTTTCAAGAGCAGCCTATGGTTGGATCCTTTATTTCGTATGCGTTTTTTCAGTGTTGTCTATTTTAATGCCAATGTAATCAATTTTTTATCGTTTTGAGTCGAATTTGGTACTTAGGCCATACCAAAAGTAGTGAGAATGACACTTTAATACTGTATAGTAAACTTAAAGAAAGTTTCTTTCTATACAGTCTGATAGAGAAAAAAACTCTATCTTCTTATGCTATTTGATCATACTTCAACTAATATCATAACTTTAAAATTTCGATAAAATCTGTTTTGTTCACACGTGTCACAGTTCGATGAATGTTAATGAGTATTTCTTGAATAACTGTTGATAGAAATAAGATAGAGAAGTGCGGCTTTCATCGTTGGAACGAGGAGATGAAGATGTATCGGATCATGTATTGTAGGTTTTTCTAATATTGATTTGTCAAGTATTTTTATTTAATTTTCTAACTATCGAAAAAATTTTCTTTATGAAAAAAAGTAAAAAGCAGAAAAGTAAGCTTTCTTTCACAGACTTTGCCAGAAAATCATATCAAAGGCTCGACTGGAATGCATGTTATTCCTTTCAATTGTGTGTACTTTGTAGATCTTCGATTAGTGGTTCGAATTTATACTTGATAATTGAAAATTTGCTGTAGGCAACTTACTAGATAAGCTTGATCTTTTTAAGATCAATGGAGAACCTTGCAAAACACATATGAGGAAAACCTGGAATATGTGATTTGATGCGTCTTCATCGTCTCTTTCCGAAGGCGAAAATCACACTCCTTTATTTTGTTTTTATCAAAAGTTATTCAAAAAATACTGATCTGTACTTTTTAAAATAAGTACTAACACAACCATCACATATGATAACGAAACACATCTTATTGAAATTCTATCATTAGGATATTAGTTGAAGTATAATTAAATAGCATAGAAAGATGGAACTGTTCTCCTCTATCAGACAATATAGAAAGAAAGTTTCTCTAAGCCTACTATATGGTATTAAGGTGACATTCTCACTACTTTTGGTATGCCCTAAGTACACAGATGCTAAAATAAAATTTATCAACAAAAGATTTCAGCGATGTATGTAATAAAAATTATATTCTCTGTTGTACTGAAGGATTTGATGACAACGATAATCTTCTTAATGTGATCGATAAATTGGAATGAAAATATTATGATTAATAGACTCATTTGATGATACACTTATGAAACTCTCTTTTATATGAAACTTAATCGTACTACACATATAATAGAAATGAACGTGATGATAAAAAAAACCCTCCTTATTTCGTTATGGTCATTGAAACATAGCAAAAACGCCACACTAAACAATTTAGTAAACGTTACCAGCTAAAGTCATTTATTGTCTGTCGTGTTCAAAGTTTTTCTAAGATAGACTTTCATGAATTAATGAAAGAGAAAGATTACTTAATTTCATTCTATTATTTTCTTTCAGCCAATATCAATCAGGACGTTCTGCCTGCCGTTGCTCAAAGCAATTCTGATTGAATAAGTGTTCTCTTTTATATAACTGTTAACTCATCCATATCTAACACACATTTCACCTTCATTACTGATGTCAACTAATACGATACAGAAAATATAATATTCTTCTTAAGGCACATCATTTTTTGCATCGATGAAATCAAACGAATGAATGATCCTAATATGTTTGGATGATGAAATTAGTGGTGATCACTGGAAGTGACTAGTAGCGCCACGCTCGTATGGATCAAATGCGAGAAGCAATTAATAGATCAATAGGATGATATCGGCTAGAAAAATTACTCAGCAAATTAGGTCAAGATGGCAAAGCCAAACAATTTAATGGAATAATGCTTAATCAAACATAATATAATAGTGAGAAAATACAATTCTATTTTCTGCTTGGAAGTATGAAGAACTATTTTACATTTTATGAAAAATCGTTTGAAATTTGTCAGAAGACTCTTCTTATACTCGTGTTTCTTTAGTATATGATAAAATGGATGAATGTTCCAAAGTACTTTTGTTTCAAAAAAAAGAGGAGCTTAAAGTTTATTAAAAAACTTTTTCTAGAAATCATTTTTATTTGACTACTTTACACTAGAACATAAGTCGTATATATTATAAATTAAATGAATACTCAAAAAGATTTCTATCTCAAAAAAAACACATCATATTCATCCAAAATGTCTTTCCACAAGTCATCCTAAAATAGTTACTCGTTTCAACAATATTGTGTCGGTATATTTCAAGATGGACAAGTATTTAAAAGCATTGAATATTTATCAAAAAATTCCCTCACTATGTTACTTAAATTTGGATCACTGTATAGAAAGTCGACAATATCCATTATCATTTAATCATCCTCTTCTTTAATTGCATCGAAAATAGTTCAAAATTGTAAATGTACATTAGTTTCAGAAAATTGATAATTTCTGAAGAAAATATGTCAAGAAAATCTCCATATAGACATAAACTTTATTTCATATGAAGATAAAAGTGAACAAAGCCACCAACGAAAATATTCAACATATGTTTTGCTTTGATAATTATATTTTTCTGTATTAGGTTACAATCATTCGACAAAATCGTCCAAATAAAATACATTGAAGAAACAAATAAATATTATAGAGAAAGATTAGTGCTTCAATACTCAAAAACAATTAACTTTGTCTTAAGAATGACATACTTTTAAAAACGAAAAAATAATTAAATTGAAAGATTCTTAACGGATTATGTTTAATATTATCGAATGGTAAACGTCAATGTATAAATTAATTCTGCATGACAATACGTTAATGACTTATGTTTGGAATCATTTTCGTAATTCAAAAAAAAAGCAGTAATTTTATTGATATGCACATGTAAAGCTAAAAAACCCAACAATCTACTTTGCAATGTTTCCTACTTAAAAATATTCTACGAAAAGACTGTTGATGAGAACATAAGTCTAGTATTAAAATTCAAAAATCAGAATATAAAACTAATATAGACATTTTGCTCCTTTTTTTTTTAATAATAAATAAAACAATTTAGTTATCATATATATTAATATTTTATGAAAATTTTCATTCATATACAGTTCTTATCATACATCAGACTTCAATATATATGTTCTTATTTATATATATATGTGTGTGTGTGTTTATGTAATTAATTAATTAAATATAATTCTTAATTAAACTATTAATTAAAAATAAAATTCATTTAACTATTAGCCATTAAAGTAAATATTTCGACTTCTTTACATGCAAAATATTTTTTAGCAAATATTAAACCACCTTGAGTAGTTGAATCAATATAACTTTTGGGAAAAAATATACAATTAGTTTTATCATTAAATTTATTTCTTAAACATAAATCACTGCCTTCATTTTTTGGTGAACCAAAATTAGGACCACATGTTGGATTATGACTTATTGCACATTGTTGATATTCTTTAGCAACAGGAAATTTTGTTGGTGGAATATTTAATGTATTTTTTAATGTAAATAGAAATGCTTTTGGATCAGCTTGATCAGATCGTAAGGATGCTGAACTCCAAGGTATTGATGTAAAACCACCAAAAATATTTCCAAAATCAGTTTGAATAATTGATACTGTAGGTGCAAATGAATCACAATAACGATGAAAATCAGTTGCATCAAAACCATGTTCACTTGCTCGATAAATTAAACGCCATGGTTGTTGTTGAATATCATTACCGATAAATTCAATTAGTTTTTCTTCATATTCAATAGTTAATAAAGTACTTCCAAGAAAAATATTTAAACGATTTTCTGAAGATAAATTTGATCTCCATGATGATGCTGTTTGAGCTGGATGAAGTTTTAATTTTGATGAAATAGATTGATTTAAAGGTGATAGACGTGTTATATTATTAGATAATGGTGTAGGTGAAAAAGGTGATGAACGAGATTTATTTATTGTTGATAATGGACTACATGGTGGTGATTGATTAATAGCATCGAATGAATTAATAGACATAAATAATTCATCTTTTCTTAATATTAAATTTAATTCATCTTCTAAATTTTTTAATTTATAATATTTAGCTTCTGTTAATAATTCTTTTTGTATTTTTCTATCTTCAATATTCAATTCACCGGTTCGAAGATATTGAAGAATAACATCAAATAAACGTCCATCACGATCAATAAATATTGGATTATCTATAGAATTTGTATTAACATTCCATTTTTCATTAATAAGTGTTTGAAAAAATATTGAATTTGTTGATTGTGTTAATGTTTTAATTGTTGTTGTAAAACGTTGACCACCAACATCAAGATAAATACGATTATCAGAATTTATTTTGAATTGTTTTTCAATATCATTTCGATCTTTTCGATATTGTTCTAATTCTCTTTCAAGTTGTTCTTGTTTTATTTGCATTGATCGAATTGTTGCAGAAAGTTTATTAAAATCTTCTGTATAATTAATGAATTGTGTAAATTGTTGAGACATTAAAATGAAATTTTGTTTTATAGCAGGAACTAATGTTTGAAGATTTTGTAAAATTTCTAGTTCACTACCATTATTATTATTATTATCATTACTATTATTATTAATGTTAATTTTATTATTAGTTATAGTGGCAGTAGTAACACCATTAGTTTGTGACATGATTATACTTGTTATGATGATAAATGAGTAAGAGAAAAAAAAAGAAAAATAAAAAAATAAGAACAAATCTATTCTGTCGTATTTTTATATACTTAATATGATTTTTTTGTGAGAACCTTTTTTATCATAAAAAAAATGTTTTCTCTCGATTCTGCAATATTTTTTTTTTGTTTTTTTATTTTTCTAATTCTTCGACTTGTCTGGGAAAAATCATCGATGACGATGGCGTATATTTCATTTTACTGCAACACATGTGTCGTAAGTTTTTATTTTTTTTTCTGTTCTATATTGTTATCGTAATAAAAGCACCATCGGAAATTATGTTAAAAGAAAAAACAAAAAAAAACAAAAAAGAGGAAAGAGAAGTCGATCTTTTTTGCTTGTTCTTACTTTACGATGAAAAGTAAAAAAGGGGGCAAAATGTTTTTTAGACCTTTTTTTATGTATTCAAAAATTGAGTAACCTTTATAAATGCAAAAAAAAACAAAGATACAAAAAACCGAAACAATAGATCAAACAAGTGTCTCTAGATGCTGTTGATTGATAACATAACTATTATTATCATCCGATGAAAGTGAACCTAAACATGAATCTGTTGTACTTCGATCTGATGAATTATCATCATCAGCATCATCATCAAATTTATATAAACTATTTCGTCGTTGTTTAATTGATGTTAATCGATTAATATCACGATCAACACTTGAAGTTCGTTGAAGAAAAGAATTTGATGAATTTTTTTTTAAAATGCTTTTCATTTGTTTTGTTGATGATGGTAATTCATTTCTATTATTTCCTATTGATGTACGAAAACGAACACGTGATAATGAACGACTTGTATTTGTTGTATTATGATTAATAGCTTTATGATATTCGTCTTGTCGTGATTGTCGTGTACATATTGGAATAATATCTGATGAAATTCTAAAATATTTATTAATAAAAAAATTAATAAAATTGTTTTTGTTTTTTTGTTATTTTTAAGAACATACTTGCTATCATCACTATCATCATTTTGAGTAATCCAATCGAAATAATTTGTATAATTTGTTGATGATTTATATTGATAATCATTTGATAAATTAAATTTTTTTAATTGTGTTATTATTTCATGTTGTCGTCGTATTAATGATTCTTGAATTTTTAATTGTTCATATGCATTTGTTAATGATGTTTGTTGATATGATGTTCGATGAAGTTTTTTACGTTGTGCAAAACGTGATGGTGATGCATTACGTTTAAACGATAATTTAAAATGTATATTTGTTGATGCATAACGTAATAAAATATCTTGAATAAAATCAGTTGATTTTAATGGAAATAAATATGGTGGACGTTCAATATATAAACAACAATCATTCATAGATAAATATTGTTTTTCAGATAAATCATCGAGTAATGCATCAATAACATGACCAACTGTTGTTAAACGATTAAAATTTGTTATACATTTATTAATACCACGATATGAAACTTGAATACATTCATATGGACGATGTTGACAGACTATTCAAAAAAAAAAAGTTTCAAAGGTTATGTTAAATTAAAAAAATAATATTTATGTTCGGATATATTTACCTTGCATAATTTATGTATATCACAATATCAATAGATTACAGTATCGATTCATTCTATTTATATATATATATATATATATGTATATATCGATTTTGTTGTTGAGCATTTTCTCTCTCTCTCTTTCTTTCTTTGTCTATTGTTTTATAAGCCAATCTATTTGTCGTCTTACGTTTTCTTTCTAATTGATTACCGAATCAAATATGTGTGCAAATGTATGCGACTCGGTATGTCTCCATCGTCATCTCTCGATAGTCAATTAAGATAGATATACATATAACCGGAAGCAAAAAAAATTCCACTTCTATCTCACACGTTAACAAGTTTATTCGATTAGTGTTTATTGTCTACAAATGATTGGAGATAATCCGATGAATATACACGAGCTGTTTTAGTTCTAAATGGATTATGAACAACTTTCAATCTAAATATGTTTTTTTTTAAATAGAAATAAAGATCTTTAGGTTTTGTTTTTTTCCTTATTTGGTGATAGAAAGAATTTTAGAATGTGACATTTGATAATGATGTATAGAGAAGATGAATAAATTTACACCTTTCAATGGCGGTTAAAAAATGAAAGAGTAGAACAAATGAATTTTTTTTTCTTTCTATAAAGAAAACGAAATGAACATCAGAGTGAATATTTATTGATTTAATCTGTAGTGGATGAAAGACAGTTTAAATGACGACAAAGTTTTCCAATCAAGGTTTTATTAATGGAAAAAAAAGAAACTTCTTTTTAATTATTTGTCTTCCTGTTATTGAAATATTCTTCCGTTGTGTGATCAATTACAAGATGTAAATTCTTACCAATTAGTTGCATCAGTGTCTTTTTTTTAATTGATATATTGACTTGAAAAATGCAATCCAATGATAGTATTAGGAAAATTAATTCGATAATTTTGAAAATAGTTTTTAATTATATTATCTAAATTTTAGATCAGACTCATTAAAGAAAAAATTCTAAAACAAAAAAAAAAGTTTTTCTTTTTATGTTTGAGTCAATAATATCTCATTATTTATTCTTTTTATTTTTATCTACGATAAAAATACAATGTTTTTAATACAATCATTCGTCTTCTTCATTGAAAACCTTTAGATTTTGATGATGTTTTGTTTTTTGAAGGTGATTTACTTTTCGATGTTGACTGATTTGTTGAAGAAGTTTTAGTTCGTGTTGCTTTCGTTTTTTTCTGTGTTTTTGATGGCGACTTTGCTAGTGATTTACTTGGACTATTTGCAGCAGATCTGCTTTTATGTTTTATTGGTGATGCTGGCGTTTTGCCATTTGTCCATATGTTTGTTCGAAAATCATAATAAGCCTAAATAAAATCTGAACATGTACATATAAAAAAAAACAGTTTATCGTTACTTCGCCAATCATATCGCTTGCACCATCATCATAAATATTACGTTTTGTTATTTCAAGATAAGGATCTAATGAGAGAAATTTATCTAATATTATTTAGAATAAGCCTATGCATTATACCATTGAATGATACTGCATGAAGTTTAGTAAGTTCAGGTGTTTGTGAAACTTTAATCCATGTTGGAGTTTCATGTTTCCATTTTAAAATATCCTTTAGAATATAATTATAAAACAATTTGGTTATTTTATAATTGAAATAGAAATACTCACAGTACTTATTTTTATTTTTTTATTACCATTCTCATCATGACCTTCGATTAAACCTGATACACAAAACAAGGCATTATCAGTTGCAAAAATTAGACTACGACAACGTGGTGATGGCAAATCAGTTGATTTTTCAAATCTAAATGTGTATATATATATATATATTAGGCGAAAGAAAAAGCACATTTTCAAAAAATAATATCGAATCATACTGTCTTGTTGACAAATTATAGATAGTAAAAGTATTGACGAAATGAGTTTGATTTCGAAAAATATCATAACCACCTCTAAAGGTAATTTCATAAAAATGAAACAACACCAAACTTTTTATATATGTCATAACTCACACGATATAAATTCGTTGTCCTTCAACTGTCATACCACTAAACATTAGAAAAATTAGTTTATAATTAACAAATATCTAATCTAACCAAGCAGCAAGCGGATACATTAATGTAGCAATATATTCCCATTTGAATGTTCGTAAATTTAAACGTTGAATATCATCGAGTACACTAATATTAAAAAAAAAAAGAACAAAACTCTGGTGTGAAAGTCTTGGCACAAAATATTCACTTTTTTTTTTGTTACTTAAAGATAGACTATTCCGCTCTTTTCAAATATTTGTTTAGAATTTCCTTCTGAAGTAAAATTGAACAACTATCATCAGCTTGTTTCAAAACATTCAACATGATGACTGTACAGAATATTATTTTGGTCAATTTTGTATTTTGATTGAAACCTATCAAATTCAAAATACAAAATACTTAGGTCATGCCAAAAGTAGTGCGCCCCGCATCTTAATTTCGTATAGACTGCTTGGAAAAATTTTCTTTTCTTATGAATAGATAGAGCGTCTTTTGCTCTATCTTTCTATGCTATTTGATCACTATTCAATCGATATCATAATAATAAAATTATCATAAAATTGTTCTTTGTGCAACTGCAGCTGGTACCAATAGTACATATCGGATGGCCCATAAGTAAGGAAACAGAAAAAAAAATTGAATATCTCCATTATGGCTCGATCAAATGGGCTCATTTTTATACCGAGGCTAGAGATCTGTTCACACTTCAAATTCATACGAGCAAGGTTGGTGAGAATCTTTGTTAAATACCATTAGTGACCTCAACAAAAAATTTCACCTTTTTACAAATAGGAAAAATTCAATATACAGAGTAGCTCAAAAGTCAGTTTACTGGAAAGAAAATTGAATATCTTCATTACAGCTCGAGCAAACGAGCTGATATTTTAATCAAAGATAGAGGTATATTCATACTCTAAATTCATATGGACAAGATTAGTGTGAACCTTTGTGAACTGTATTTTTTTTTCTAATCTGTGAAAAGGTAAAATTTTCTTGGTGAGGTCAATAGTAATACTCACAAAGATTCTCATTTACTTTGTCCGTATAGATTTGAAGCGTGAACAGGCCTCCAGCCTTGGTATAAAAATGAGCCCGTTTGGTCAAGCCATAATGGAGATATTCAATTTTTTTTCCGTTTCCTTACTTATGGGCCATCTAATATGTACTATTGGTACCAGCTGCAGTTGCACAAAGAACAGTTTTATGATAATTTTATTATTATGATATCGATTGAATAGTGATCAAATAGCATAGAAAGATAGAGCAAAAGACGCTCTATCTGTTCATAAGAAAAGAAATTTTTTTCCAAGCAGTCTATACGAAATTAAGATGCGAGGCGCACTACTTTTGGTATGACCTAAGTAGTACATAGGTTTTGAATGGTATGAAACTGCAATATCTTGTTTTGTACAGAATCCAATGCTCTACAATAACGTTGAGATGAAACAGTTCCAAAACATAGACTGAGAACTGCACCAAAACGGCTATTTTACTTTGTACAAACACAATTTTGGACTTGTTCACCAAAATTTACTGATATTTGTTCAGTCTTATCACAGAACAAGAATGTGAACATATATTCAAAAATAATGAAAAATTCTGATTCAAACTAATTGCATTTGACTCTAACCAATTGTCTTTTAGTGGTCAAAAAATAAGTGAATCTTTGGTGCCAAGAGTTTCGCACCTCAGATTACTTACTCATTGTGTAATGTTTGACCACCGACAACATAAATAGCGTCACCATCTGAATATATTCCTGTAATATTCAAAAAGAAAAAAAAATTTTTTTTGTTAAATCATGCAAATCTAATTTTACTTAATCATTCACCAAAATGAACTCGACATGGATTTAATCGTGGAATTCTTGCGGTATTACCATTGGATTTGAATAAATAATCTGTATCAGGTTCTTTTTGAATAGGAATATTGACATATAAATTGTAACCACCTGAATTAATTTAATAACCGATGATATATCGAAAGAAAAACAAAAAATTCATTTACCAATAATAAAAACTCCTATTCGTTCATGAACTAATGCATATTTTTTTCTTGGTTCTATACCGGCCATTCTTTTTACTATATGAGATTCTTCGTTATCAATAAGAGATAGATCTTTTTTAACATATGGTCCCATTATCTGATCAAAGACATTTTTGATTATCTAATGACACTATTTGATGATAATACTTACGGTAAGACCTGGATCAAATATAGGTACATCAGAAGCAGCATTACGAATGATACCAAATGATCGTTTAAGTGTATTAATATATTGTTCAAAAATATCCAAACAATGAGATTGACGTTGAATATATTTTGTTAAATAATCATTTGACTCTATGGCACTACGGATAATAAAAGATTAAAGAAAAAACAAATGATATTAAAGAAAAAATATACCATTTCAATCGAATTCGATTTGAACGAATTATATGTTTAGTGTAGCTATCTGACAAAAAAAAAATCCATAGAAAATTAACATTGAGAATATCAAATATTGTTATTACTCCGTTCGAAAATATTTCGAGTAAAATCATTGATTTCATCTAAATCCCATATTGATTCAAAATTATCTGCTGTTTTATTCACCAAATTTGAATTTTTTATTGGACTAGATTCACCCGTCTTTGATTGATTAAATGAAACTGTTGGAGAAATAATTTGATCAGAACTTTTTAAAGTTGTTATAGAAATTGAATTTGATTGTACATCTGATATTGATTGATGACTTTTGGATTCGAACGTTGGTAATTTTTGTACTGTTTTTATTGTTGAAGAAGATGGAGCGTGCAATGATATACCTGGCACTGATGAAAGTATATTCGAATTTTGTTGATTTTTATTTGGTTGTTGTTGATGTTTACTATTCATTGAATAGATATAAAAGGTTTCAATTTTTTAAAAGTATTCGTCAATGTTTTCTTGTTTTTTTTGTTACATACTGATATGTAGTTTTACGAGCTTTAGCTGCATCAGGAAGTGTAATTTTTATAATGTTTTCACGATTTTTTTTCTTAGCCTAGATTAAAAATGTCAATGAGTTAGACTTTTGTTTTTATTATTCTTTAAAACAAACTTTTTTATTTGATTTTTTACGTTTTTCCGATTTTGTTGATGGAGTTCTATTTGTCATAGGTTTTGTATTAGTCATTTTTTTGTTACTCTCATTTCTTTCTAAGTATCTTCTTTTAGTTTCATATAGATTTTTAAAATTATTTTTTTTATTGTTATTTAAATCATTATTTATCTCAATATTATTTTTTTCATTTTGATAATCAATATATTGTGATTGTGTATTCAAACAATAATGTTTAAAAATAGATTCATATTCATCTAGTTTGTTTAGTATAGGATGATTTTCATTATCAACAATTATTGATGCCATTGTAACATAAAAGAATTTGTTTGAAATAAAATAGAAAAAAGATAATGTTAACGCGCTAATTTTATTTAAAATTATTTTATTAATAGGTTTTTTTTGTTTATACATAATTATCTCGAACATGATCATACACACTTATATCTATTGGAGGAGTTAAAATAATTGATATTGGTTCTTCATAAAAATGTTGAGAAAGATTCATAGATGAAATTTGAATTCGTTCGGTTATCGTTGATTGTTGATGAAATATTCGATGAGATGCATAGAGTATAACAGTAATAATGATGAATGAAAGGAACAAAAGTATAAGAATACCTATGATGAATATCCATCGATATTGAATCCAGAAATTTGTTTTTGCATTTAACCATGAAGAAACAATAGTTGAATTCATCAATAAAATGTTTTGTAATGTCGAAACTATATCAAATATCAGATGAAATATAGAAGTAAATATATTTATTGAGAATTTACTTTGATCACATTGTTGAATAAATAAATCTTTAATGATTAATGAATGATTACTAGCAATACCATTACTGTCTGTGACTATATTAATCTATATTTTTTCTTAAATAAGATAAATTTTCTCATATTTTATTAGATTTATTTACCATAGTTAAATTTTCTGGAAGTAGAACAGTAAAAGAATACCAAAGTAATTCAGGTTGTTCATTCGGAATACAAAAACTGAAAAATAATATCGATTGGTTTTTAGTATTAGTCCAAATTTTCCCATAAAAATTCATACAACCTAAACAAACATAATTTATATAATTCAATTGAATTATTATTATTTTTTGATTACAATCTATAATAGTTCCAGTAATAAGATATTTAAATTCTAAACAATGTTGATAATTCAATGATACATTTATTTTTGTAAGAAATGTAGATTTCGATCCATCAAGATTTTTCATAATACATAAATCTAATAAGAAATATGTAATAATGCATCTATTGAAATAACTTCTTCTGTTTACGTGAACTCATCTTTTGATTGTATCCACATCCATGATAAGGATTCCAACCGAAAAAAGTCCACTGACAAGATCCATTTGTTCGATCTGGTAAACAAATCGATTTTCCTTCTACAACAATGATAATTTTCCACAAACAATAATTTATTAAATCATAATTCTATTGACCTGAATTTATAAACATAATAAGAAAAATAATGAGCATGTTACTCTCATTTGATATTGCCATTTTTCTTATCATCGATGTTTTTTTTTTCGATTCTTTTATTTTTCTTGATATTCGTCGATCTTCATATCCACTATTTCTTTCAATTCTTTTTTTGTCTTTGATTTATACACAATATTAAGAAGATAGCATTGTAATATTAACATAGTAATAATAAATGAGAATATATATATATATTTAAGAAATATTTCAATTTTATTAAATTATTCTAATTCTAATTTCCCTGAGCTTCATACAAATATATTCCAATACAATAAGAAACATTCACAAAATCATACACAATAGTGAATGATATTTAAAGAAAAAACACATTATTTTTATCTAGTTACCCTGATCGATAAAACAAAAGACCCCAGAGTGCTGTACTTTTTTTTTTGTATGATGTTCTCTGTGCTCGGACAAAAGAATCAACAAACAGAAAAACAAACATTGTTCTATAAAAAGTTAGACATTAATATTTAAAAAAACTAGAAAAGACGAAACAGAAATCTAATCTACGTTGGCAATATATCATTGTTTTTTATACAATAATCTACATCTCAATTTTTCGGTTATGATTACTGTCGATAACATCCGGTGCTGAAGCTACTGTTGATCCTGATGAATATTCAATTGTTGGAAAGAATCCTTTTTCTTTGAAAACAGATCTAAAAATAATATAGAATTTACAAAAACAAAGTAGAAAAAATGAAAATAATCTTACTCATAAAAACGAACGTGAGTTTCTAATTGATTTAATAATAATTGTTGTTGTTTTGAATGTGCTTTGAGCAACTGTTTACAATAGAAATAAAAAAAGACGAGTAGCGTTTGCACTTCGAATGAAAATTGATGATAGATCCAAAAACTTACTTTGTATTTTTTCTGACTACTCTGACAATCATTAAGATCATGAGAAAGTCCATGAACAAATTGTACTAAAAGTGCATTTTTAGTTTTTAAATTTTCTCTATCGCCTGTTAATTGTTGCATTAACGATGGTATTTTCTTTAAATGTTCTTGTAATGTTCCATTTCGATTATTGTTGCTAATACCATTGTCCAAACTAAATAAATTGAAATTTTTCATTTAAAATAAAAAATAATTCAAATAATTAATCATCTATTCTACATTTATTTACTGTGTGATAAATAGTGCATGAAATATAAATATTATTATATTAATTGACTAGAAGAGAATTAATATTAATACGTACACACACAAACACATGTGAATGAGATTCTAAATTGAAGGAAACAAAAAAAAAGGAAAATAAAACTTGTATGAACACAATACTATGTGATACGAATGCATTTTTAAAATATACACAAATATTAGTTAATGGTTAAATGACTAGGAAAGAAACTAGAACATAACACATGGATAACACCCATCAAATTAACACAAACAATGATTTTTTTTCTTCTTTTGTGATTATTTTTACCATAATTCTGGAATACCATCATGAATAAAATTTAATGCTTGATCACAATCTTTTCTTAAACGTCTTTGTTCTTCTTCACAACGATGAACATTTTCACGCATTAATTTTAATTCTTTACTTAAAGATGCATTTTCAAGACGAAGAACATTTAATTCTGCATCTTGTTTTGTACACTAACAAAAAAAAATCGAGAAAAATTTTAACTTTGTGATTCTTTCGAAAAAAAAAGTACAAATCAAATAAAATACCTTAGTATTAAGTGATGAAATATTTTTCATATTATATTCAAATTCATTTTTGATTTGTTCAAGTTCTTTTTCACGTTTTCGTATTACACGTTTAGATTCATCATTTGATCGTTCAAGCATTGATATATGTCGTTTTAATTCTTGATTCATTTCTTCAATTTTTTCAAACTAAATACATACGTTTAAAAAAATTTTACATCAAGAATATATTTCAATGACAATATAAACTAAAATTAATAATGAATTTATCAAATATATCATATTAAGTTTAGTGACATTTTTATTAATCGTATTTATATTTTATCTCAAATTTTATAATCGGAAACACTAATTAACGTAATTTTTTATTTCACTAATATCTGAATTATTTCAAACTCGAGATCTGTCACCATTATACACGTAAGCCGATGCATTGATCGCTGGTGGCGACTAGATTTATTCTAACTTTTTTCCTTTGACGAAGCAAGTGGTTGAAATATTTGGATGAAGTTTAAAAGGTTTTCTTAACTTTGAAATGAAAGAAAGAGAAAACCATGGTAGAGAATTTATTGATAAGAAACTAGATGTTAACATCTTCAAAAATTGATTTTGGATGTTGGAAATTTTCGAAAATCAAAGATCTACTTTTGTATCACAGCGACGTAGCTGAACCGTATAAGCGGTGATGGCTCAACTGATCAGCTTACACTTCTAATCGTTATTATCATTCGACATCAGATAATCATATACATTAACAAACTATCATATAGATTTTATTAATAGTAATACGAGGTGTACCAAAAGTTTTGCAACATTTTTGTCTTTAGCAAATATTGGAGCTGAGAAATAATACATCAACCAAAGTTGTCTGTCAGAAGATGCAGCATTTGACTTCTATGGATCTTTATTTAAAACAGTAGAATAAAAAATGAACAGCCACGCAAGAAACTTCGTGCCTGTGATTCGAGTCTCAATAAAATGCTCTTTCAGCAATGTTTGTACGTATTTCATCATAACCTATATTTGTGTGACGACAATAGTTTATCTGAATTCCTACAACAAAAGTCGCTCTCTGTAAAGTATCCGAATTCGTCGTTTTTCTTAATCGTTTTATTACAGGATATTTGGATGTCAAAAATAAGGAGACAAAATAATTTTTCATAAAACACTGTAAAAATGAACTCTGCCTAAATATGAAGAACATTCCTAGGATATCCGTTAGAAAACGAATAACCAATGAAGGAAATTTCCCTATTCTTAAAATATAACTACAATACTTCGTAAGTATACACAATTGACAGAGCCTTCCAAACATCGTTTAGCACAAGATTCATTTTTTGAAAGCTATAAATATTCGTTTCCATAAAAAGAATACACCACTGAAAGACTCAGTAGGAAGTAAATTCCATTTACTGAATCACAGAACGCAGTTTATGTTCTGTTATTTTAAATAAAAGTCCATAGAAGCCAAATACTGCATCTTCTGACAGAAAAACTTGAATAATGTATTATTTCTCAGCTCAGATATGTGCTAAAAGAAAAATGTTGAAAAACTTTTCATACACTTGGTATATCGAATTATTTTATAAAATACGATCTAAAAGGAGTATTGAAGTCTAAAGGTAAAAATTCGAACCATTCTCTTCCTCACAGATGTTGTTGATATACGATCAGAGATTATATGTCAATAATGTTTTGTAATAATATGTAAAAATCTAACCTCTGTAGCTGTTGTGGATTGTTCATATTTTAATGATTGTATTTCCGATTGTGTCATATTTAATTCAGCTTTTTTCTGCTCTAATAAACATAATGAATCTTTATTAACATCTTTTAATGATACTAATAATGATTCACATTCATTTATCTAAAATAAAATAAAGATTTTAATTATTTATTTTCCTATAGATTTTTTATTTTTTGGAAATAAAAATTTTACTTTTTCTTGATATGATAATTCATTTTGTTGATATGTTCTTTGTAATGATTCATTATGTGCATGTGTATTTGCTAATTGTTTTTCTAATTTTTGTGTTGCTTGATGTAATAAACGATTTTCATTTGTATATCCATCAATATCATTTTCAAGCTTTTCAAGCTAAAAAAAAAAAAAAGAAATAAAACGTAAAATAAAGTTTCCTTTTGAAAAATTATTAAATAACTACCTTTTTATTAACATTTGTCATATTTTTAATTAATTGATCACGTTCTTGTATTGTATCATCTAATGTATGTTTTAAACGTTCAATAAGTATTTGACATTCAGAATGAGATTGTGTTTCATTACTGAAAAAAGCCAAAAAAAAAAAAAGAAAGTAATCGAACAGAGAAAAAAAATGAATGAATTATTATTTAAGAAATAAAAAATTTACTTGAGTTCTTTACGTAATTGTACTAAATTCATTTCTTGTTCATCAATTTTTGTATGCATTATACCTTCAGCTCGATGAAAATCATCAATTTTAGCTCGCAAACGTTTTATTTCCATACGTAAATGACGATTTTCATCACTTGTTTGAGACCATTTACGTCTATATTCTCGTACATATAAATGAGCTTTTTCAAGAACAGGTTTAACAGTCATAAATTGTAAAATTAAATCTTCATGTTGACTTCGTAAAAGTGTTAACATTTTTGTTGATTGTTCAAAACGTTCATCAAGTATACGAAGTCTATTTGCATCTTCACTTAAATCAGTTATTTGTTCATGAAGTTTTGATGTGATACTAGCCCATCGTTCACTTGTTTCAGATGCCTATTGAAAATGAAAATTAATAATCGAAAACATTTTTTCAATAAGATAATCTTTATTAGAATTTACCTTTCGAACAACTGTCTTGAAACAATTGCCAAGTAATGTTAATTTTCGTTTACAGATTTTCGCTTCATCTATTGATTGTACTAACTAAATATATATATAGATATGTCAACACCCAATCTTGAATTGAGGAAGTAATTTATATAAAAACTCGAATTAATATGTAGATCGATATTTTATTCGAATTCTTATTGATGAACTGAAAGATGGCAATAGTATTTCAAATAAATACAATCAACAGTTAAGTTTGAATCTGTGAATTTATGAATGATTTTATACACAAGGACTACTTTAATAGAAACTATCGATAACCGCTCGAATCTTTACTTAATTCGTTCATTGATAATCGTATTAATTGAAATGCCGTTTGCTTCCTCTCATTTCATCAATAAAAATCCAATTACGACATCGATCCACGAACCAATTCGAGTTTTAATATAAAGCTTCACTCAATCCAACATTGGACGTAATTTCAGTTTGGAGGTTAATATATACAGAGTGTCCGGAAAGTCACCAATCAAAAAATAAACCATATATCTCGACTTCAGTTAAACCAATTCAAGTAGCTTTTTTTCTGCCAATAGAGAAGACTTCCTAGATTTTATTCATAAAGTTCAAATCTATGCATACTCCTGAAATCTATAAATTTTAGATTCAATACATGAAAAAACTCCTATTTTCGAATATCGAACACAGAGTTTCCTGCTGAATTGTTTCAATTTTTTTCGTTATTCTAGACTTTTCTGCTATTCAGACGTCCTGCTCTTATTTTATAAATATTTGTATAAAATTTTTGAAAAATCTCAAGGAATTGGTACATTTCTTGCTTGTCAAAAACTTTGATAAGAAGTCAACTAAATGAAATTGACACGATTTTAGGCATTCCACAGTCACTAAGTTTGAGATTAATATCATTAATTTTTCAATAAGCGGTCATACTAATATCTATAAAGTTAGAGAAGAACATCTGAACGGCGAAAAGTTCAAAAACTTTAACTTTCTGAATAAACACTTAGAAGTCTACTCTATTAGCAGAAAAAAAAGCAGTTTAATTGAGTTTAACCGCAATGAATATGTATAGTTTTCTTTTTGATAGATGACTTTCAGGACACTCTGTATAAATATATAATTAATAGTAAATCATAATTTTATTATTTCTATTTACTTGTTCTTTATGTATAATATCAGATTTTTGACTTTCTTCAAGTTCATATCGACAATTAGTAAAATCTTCATTTAAAGTAGCATGTTCACGTTGAAGTTTTTCATAATTACTAATCATCATTGATAATTCATTTTCAATTGTTTTCATACGTTGTTCACGTTCAAAATATTCTTCATTTGAATATCGATGTTCTTTTTCATATGAATGAAAATCTTGTTGTATTTGATGAAGACGATTTGTTATTGCTGATAACTAAAATTAAGAAATCAAGAATAAATAGATGAGAAAAAAAAGAAACAATTCTTTGTCTACTTCATTTGTTTTTTCTGTTAAATGTTGTTTTAATGTTTGATTTCCAATTTCATGTTGAATTATTTGATCTTGTACAGTTGATAAATCATTTTTTGATTTTTCATAATCAATTTGCAAACGTGATAAAAGATGATTAAGTGTTTCTATTTCACGTTGACGATCATCGAGTGATTTATTTGTTTCTTGTAAGAATGAATTTGTTCGAGTTAAATTTTGTTTTAAATCCACTTCCTATAAATCGAACAAAAAAAGATAATTATTTTATTTTTTTAAAAAACAAAATTATCATATACTTTAACAGCATGCTCTTGTATAAGTGAACGTGCTTGACTTAGTTCAGTTTTCAATGTATCAATTGTCATTAATGAACTTTTCGATTGTATTCTTAATTCATCTAATTGATGTATAGCATCTGTAGCACGTTTTTGTTCTTCATCTAATTGTCGTGTTAATAAAACAATTTTTGATCCAGATTTTGAAGCTGATTCAGTTTCATCACATAACATTTTTTGTATAGTTTCAATTTCATTTTGATAATTTTCATTTTGTTCTCGTATATCATTACGTTCACTTGTTACATTTAAAAGATTTTCTTTTAATTCATCAATATTTTTTAATAAATCAATTTCATTCGTTTTTAATGATGACATTTCACTATTTAATTTTTCAATTTCATGACGATATTTACGTGTTTCATCTTCACGTAGAATTTTTATATTACGTAAATCAGCTTCGGAACGTTCATATTGAACATTTATTGATTCTTTCTACAAGAAAAAACCCAGAAAATGATTTATTTTATTGAAATTATAATTGAATAAACGAACAAATGTTTCTAAGATTTATTCTGTTTTGAAACTTTACTATTGTTAGGTTCACTATGAATTTGTGACATATTATTGAAAGATAAATTAAATGTACGATGAATAACTAGGCCTGATGCTTCCTATGAAGGGGAAGGAATCGAAAGCTAAGTATTTAAAAGGTTCTTTTTGATAAAAAGAGGACAATGTTAAATTGTTAAATAATAAAAATTCATGATTTACTTTCAGTCTTTTTAATCTTTTGCCATAATTAATAGTAGTTTATGGTAGATTTAGGTTGTTCTTAAGAAAAGAATAATCATAGTTAAACGATGGCTTGTATTTAATTGCACAGTATTTTATTATGAATATTTAGTGTATTTTTTTATCTCACGCTCAGTAAGTTTTGCTCTGTCAAAAATTAGTTTTAGCATAGTAAATAGTTTGAAATCACCTACACAAACATTTGCACCCTTATTTGCTGATAATTTGTATATAGTACTGAGCGTTTACAAAAAACAAACTTAAGCATTTTATTTGCTCTCGTAAATGATATTTTCTGACATTGATTCAAGATAGTATGAACCTCTTGACACACGACCAAAGTACTATGAAAAGTCTTCACAGAATCCAATGTTTTCTAGTTGCCATGATAAATAGAAGAATAGAGCATGTAAGCATTCAATTATGGTATTAGTCTTCATCAATATTTATACTTGTTTTCGATTTTCATATGATCATTCTTATATTATCAGTTATTTCCATTACGTTGTCTTTCTTTATTCGATATATTATTGTGTCTTCATTTATAGCTATCTTTCTTGCGTATAGTCTTATTATCTATCACCTTTATTGAGTTATCAAGAATCATATTTCATACTTCTCTATCGTAAGTTTCAAAATTATTGACATTATTCTACAATCCCATATTCATTTTGAAAGATGCTTCAAGTCATTTTTGTTTGTTGAACTCAAGTATTTCATTCTACAAACTTTTATGATTTTTGCATAGCAGACGGGAGTCATTTAAAGTGTTTATCTTGCAATTATATGTACTTGAATAGCACGTATCGAAAATGATATGAGTACTTATAAAGCTTCAGTCTACGATGTTTTTTTCTTGAATGAGTCTATTACAAGTTAGACAATTAGAAAGAAGAAGCCTTCCAAACAGAGGAAGAAAAAAAACTCATTTAAAAACTACCGTAAAAGTGTAACATCTCAACAACCATAAACTAAAGATCTGAATTCTTTTTAAAATATTCATAGCTGATTTGGATCTATATAGGACACGTAGTCTTTACTCAAAAATGATTTATTAGTTGGAAGACTTCCTTCATGAGTTTAGATTTTCTCCCTCAAATGAATAAAACCAAACGAAATCTATGGTCTATTAAAATAATTTTCTATAATAAATACCTCTTCTTGAAGTTTTAATAGATCTTGTTGTAATATTTTAATACGATTTTCTTGTTCTTCTTGAACTTTATTTAAACGAGCAATTTCTTTTTCTTGTATTAAACATTCTTCTTTAGCATATTTGGATTTTATTTCTTCTTCATGAAGATTTTGATCATAACGTGCAAGGTGTTCTTGTTTAATTGCTAACTAGACAAAAAAAAATTAAAAGTAATTTCTCTCAATGTTGTCATATTGAAAATATTTAGTTACTTGTTTATTTAATGATTTTTGTATTTGTTGAAATTCATCTTGTTTAGCTTTTAATTCATTTGTTAATTGTTGAATTTGTTGATTAAGTGCATTGTTTGTATGTTCACGTTGAGTTAATGTTTCTGATACATGACGAAGCTATTTGGAAGAGAAAGAAAATACGTAAAATTATTTTATTAGAAAGAATTTGATTTATTCTTTTTTTTTTGTTTTACTTCGCGTTGTAAAACTTTAATATCATGTAATGCTTTTGATGCATTATCTTCAGCAAATTTTTCTCGATGATGACTTTTAACAAGACCTGTTTCAAGTGTTTCAGTTAATTGTGCAACATCAGCTGTTTTATCAATAACAATTTGTTCTAATTGTTCAATATGACATTGTTTATCAAGAACTTCTTTATGTTTTTGTATTAATTCAATTTTTATTTTATCCATTTGTTGTTCATAATCAATTAATGTTTTATTACGTAAATCAATTAATGTCATTGTTTCAATTAATTTTGCTTCAATTAAATTATTTCGTGAATTTAATTCATTTATTGTATATTCATACCGTTCATTTTTTATTGTAAATTCTTGTAGATTATGTTCAAGTTTTTCAATTTGTTCTCTTGATAATTGTATTATATTAGATAATTTTTTATGTTCATGTTCATTTGTAATATTTTTATTTTGTTCAACAGTTAAATGTTCTTGATATGTACGTAATTCTAACGATTGTTTATGAAGCTTAAAAAAAACAAAGAAAAAGAATTCGAAAGTTTTGTAGAAGATAAATATTCAACAGTTTCAAGACAAATTAAATGTGCTATAAAATTGGACTTTATCATTGGATATGATGAAAGATTATTTTAAACGTCTAAGAAAGTCAAAGATTAGAAGATTACAGAATCAAGATGGTTTTGTAATGTTTGAAGTAGAAAATGTAAACGATATCCTTTAACCTATTTCACAGGCTACTTGACTGACCGTTTGTAGATCGATTGCAGAAATGAAATTAAAAAGTTTGAGGATATATCTTGTAACTATCAATTCGTAATGCAAAAAATATGAGTTACAAAACCGACAAGTTGAGAAAACTGGAAACGTTTGATTTTTTTTAAATAAAATCTTTTCCTACCAACAGAGAAGATATATGATGGGAATGTATCCTTCGAAAGTTTTACAAAGCTAGAGAGATAAGAGACTGTCAGATACCAAATAGTCACTAGGGAAGTTCTAGAAAAACAAATTTCTAGTTTTTCAGCCTCTACAACTGGGACATAATATTTCTTTCCACCGTAGGCTATGATAAAGCGAATAATTCTCTACAAAATGAAACGTTCTCTTAGATGGTTTTTTGTCCGAACTACATTAAACTTGCCAAAGACTTTCAGCAGAACTTTTGTCATGACGTTATCCCATAGAGTGTCCCAACTTCCATCACAAATGCGAATGTGCCTGATCGATCTATCCATACTATTAGCATTCTGGAGACTCCCAATACTTTATTTCAATGGTCACTTTAGAAGTGATTCTTCTGGAATTACAATGAGGGGTAACGAGTTAAAGTACCGAACAAAAGATTTTCAGAAATCCATATAAATAATGTTCTACTTAGTAATCATTCTGGAAGATGGTTAAATCATGATTTGGAAGAATTTTATTAAAGCAAGTGCTAATACCTCAGTGGCAGTGATACTACAGTATCAATTTGATGGAACATATTTTAAAAGTCATTAAAATCTCTGATTCGAATATATGCATAACTCGCGATTATCTTCGTTTAAATTGTTCGAAAATATCTCATTTTAAAAACAGTAAAATACATTATCTACTAAACATAGAACTAGAGAACATGCTGAATAGCTCGTTTTGATTTGATTTTGAGTTTTGCGTATGTTTTACCTTTACATAAGTCTCTAATCGAGAATAACTTATTAATATGTAGCATCGAAAATAAGAGTATCTCGTATTTTGTGACCGTTTCTGGTTCTCGAAGACTGTACAATCGGTCAAGCTGAAACTTTTACCATAGATAAGATATCCAAAAAAAAAGGAGATATGTGCCCGAAGAAAAACAGTTTTTGAAGCGGATTTTTGTTGAGGAACCCTGGTTCTCATAGAGTCGCATTCTGGTTGCTGATGACCCCCATAAAACTTTATCCAATTGGATTGAAAATTTTTTTGGAGATATTTAAGACTATATCTCACAGATAGTTTTAAGCTTTTCCAAACACCCTATTCTCTTTATGATAGAAATACGTAACAGTTCAAAGCCAAAACTGGAGGTCTTGGCTTTCAGAATCCTGTGAATCCGAGTGAGAAAGTCCAAAACGAAAACGGATTATTTTATCTCTGAAGAATACTTCCAAGCATCAATGATAAAACTTTCAACTTAATCGGTTGTATTGTCTTCTAGAATCAGAAACGGTCAAAGAAGAGGCAAGTATTCTTAACGCTATTATCATAATTTTTTTCTATGAAGTCATACTTGATCTTGTTTTTCTTCGCATAGACGTTTTAATGCTCGAATTTCTGTATGTAATTGTTCAGTATCATTTGTCGATATTTTAATATGTTGTTCTAATTGTTCATCGTGAGATTTTTTTAATGCTCGAAGATCTTGTTCAAGTTTATTAATTAATGCATCTTTCATTTTAACCTAAATTAAATTAAATTAAATTAAACAAATTTATTCTTTCATATTAATTATTTACTTCAGCTGTAATTCCATCAAGTCGTTTTTTAATTGAATGTAATTCTTGATCAAGTTTTTCATATTCTATTTTTGATACAGTTGATTCAACAGGTTGTATAGGAATAATTGGATAATTATTTGATGATAATTCTCGTTGAAGATTACGAATTTGTACGTCTAAATCAGTTGTTATGGCATCTTTAACACGACACTAATAGAAAAAAAAATAAATTAAAGAAAAAAGATTTATTCATTAAAAAAAAACTAAACGAACTTGTCGTTGTAAATCACTACGCTCATTTTCAAGTTGAACTTTTTCATTTAGAACTTGTTCGATTTGTTGTGTATATTGTTCAATTTGTTGTTTTTTTATTTTAATATCATTATTAAGTGATGTTGTTGATTCTCGATGACGATCTGTTATTGTTTTTAATTTTGTTGATAAATCATGTATATGTTCATCATAACGTTGTTTATTTTGTTGAAATTCTTCTTGTAGATCTTTCAATTCATTAGTTTTGAGACGTATCTAATAAACAAAATAAAAAACAGAGCAGTTAACGCAATTTGTGCTACATTAAAATGTTAAACAATATGGAGCTGTTGGACATCGTCAAAGAAAGGATTAATCAATATATGGTGTGATATATAAATTCCTACGTCATGTCATTGATGAAAGATATTAATAGTGAGTCTGAAAGAAAAGTAAAGGACAACTATCATACTAATCTCGCAGGGGATTTTAATCTCTATCACGATTCGTAATGGTGACGAGGCATTATTAAGGTATCTGTCACAATCTGTGAGGTGGGGGAGGGAGCAGATGACGGTACTAGCCGTTACCAATGTTCCGTCTTTCTCCCAGCAGCTTCTGGGGTTTATTTTTTCAGGAATTATTGGGATTTTTCTATAAATTCCGATGTATAAATTATCATCAAACAAAAGAAACTAGATTGAAGGCAGGTACCTAGCTGAAGGTAAAAGCTGACTTTTCAGAACTCTGGTTCTCTTTTTATACAGTTAAAATGTATTATATGTTATCAATAGATAAATCATGTTAAATTCGATGGTTTATATAAAACCAATAGATTTCAGAATAATAACTGTTGTTATTGCTTCATTTTCTATAACTTTTTCTAGTGCTCATTTCATTTTTCATTAGTATTAATTGTTTTCTCACTAGTTACAATTCTTCATTGATTGCTATAATTTATTTTTCATTACACACCTAGCTTTGTCACTCATACTTTTCTCATTAACTCTTTCTTCATCACATACATCTTTATGTCACTAGAAAACTTTTTCCTTAACTGCCAACTTCAGTCAAACATTTCTTCGGCTATGTACATTATTTATTATATGTGTAAAAATATTTCTTACATCCATTTTAAGTGTTTCAGTTTTTTGACATTCTTCAATAAGTTGAGCACGAAGATCTTCAACTTTTTTTGAAAGAACAATATTCTACGAAAGAAATTTGAAGAATTTATAAATAAATAACATTTATACAAACTTTTTCTTTCGATTCATCAACTTCCATAAATGAAGAGAAAGATGACTGTTTATTCGATGACTTAACAAAAAAAAAATGAAATTTATTCAAATAAATAAGTGAAATAATAAGTTTTCTACTTCTTTAACTAATTCATTTTTTGTTTTTCGAAGTTGTTCAATTTCAGCTTGTAAAACTTGTATACGTTCATCACGATATTGAATTTCTTTATGTAAAGGTACTGTAGGATGTATATCATCATTTGATATACCAATTATACGATCAATTGGAATAGTTTTTAATTGAAGTCTTTTTGTATCCCATTTACCTGTTCGCTTAGCTGTATTAATAAATATTATTAATGAATCGAGATCATGTTTTAAATCAAGATTTTCATGATTTAATTTCCATTTTTCTGATTCAATACTCTTTAAGAAAATAAAAAAAAAAGAGAATAATTTATACACAATACTGATTAAAAATATAAGAACAACATATTTTTAATTTTTTTCTACGATACTGAGCATTTAATTCAAATCCAAATAGTAGCTGGAATAGCCAATGAAGTTCTCTACCAAATGCATTCTATAACACAACTTCATACATGGACTATAAGCAAAAGGTTTGTCACAAAACCAAACACAGTGGTTTTCAGATCTCAGCAGACTGTATGAAAATTATTTGTTAATAGTGTCATCTTAAAGAGCACGAAATTCTGAACAAAACGAATGGTTGTCGCATTTTCTACGACCTTCCCTTATAAAGATATAATCATCATACAAAATGAAAAAAGAAACGCAATTTGTCTAAAAGTCGCATATTTATGTACTGTGTGTTACTTATAACTTTTTAAAGGAAAGTCGTAGAAAACGCGGCAACCTCTCATTTTGTGCTCTTTAAGATGGTATTGTTAACTACTAATTTTCATTCAGTCCTCTGGAACTTGAAAACCATCGTATTTGGTTTTTCAGAAAACTTTTTCTAATCCATTTATGAAATTTTGGTATAGAATGAACTGACTAGAGAACTTCATTAGCCATTTCAATGACTATCTGAATTTGAGTTGAATGCTCACGAAGGAACGTTCCTAAACGTCAAATTGATTTTGAGCCGGGACTATGTGCACCATGTAATTTCTAATGAGTTATGAATACCCTAATAAGAGCATGAGCTAACAGTTTATTATTGTCAAGATAGTGTATTTTTTAACAGAATGCCGTAATCCCCCTCAGGAACAGTTGGAGAACTGAATTTCAAATTTCGACTTGAAAGTTTTCGATTTTTCGATTGCATCTTTTCTGAAATAAGAACATAGGAACAGGCCGTCGGATATTAGGAACATGCAAAAGCATGCTTTTATCATCGTCATATCTTAGGCTAGGAGCAATGAAAAATTCTAAAACTTTCATATTAAACTATTCTCATAAGAGCGTTTCTCTATGCAAAGTTTCAAGTTGAAATTCGCAACTCAACTGTCTATCTGTTCCTAAGAAGGATCGCGGCATTCTGCTAAAATATACAGTATCTCAGCAGTAATATGCTATTAGTCCGAACTGTTTGCTGAGTATTCATAGTTCATTAGAACCTGCATGATGCACATAGTCCCAACTCAACAGCGATTTGACACATTAGAAACATTCTCGCGTCAGTATCGTAGAAAACAATCAAAAATATGTCGTTCTTATATTTATGACCAATATCGATTTTCCTGATTTGTTTTTTAGAAAACTTACGCTAACGCTTTTTGTTACATCTGATAATGAATGATGTTGCTAGGGATTGAAAGAAAACTAGAAAAAATGAAAGAAGTAGAAATGATGGAACATACTTGTAAAGATGCATGTGCTTTTTTGAGTTTATTTTCAAGTAAACCAACACGTTGATTAGCTTCTTTTTCAAGTTCATCAAGACTTTGTAAGAGTAAACGTGTTTGAATTGATAAATCTTTTACATAACTTTCATAAACGGCTAATTTTTGCTAAAATATAAAATATCATTTATTCAATTTTATTATCAACATCAATCTCTTTTATTCTATCAGATATACAATGATAAATGAAATTTTGTTGATGCAATCTTATTATTTCAGTTGATCACTTTTACAAGGTCTTTTTTAATAAATTTTTCTCGAAAAAGCTGAATTTTTATATATATAATCGGATAGAATTATATTTGAAATAAAAACGTCTATGATTCTTCATTAAAATTATAACACACAGGAAATCAAACTTTTTCTTTAGAAACTTCAAAATTCATTGAATTATAAGTGGGTATTAGAAATAGACAGCCAGGGGCTGTGCGACTGTCCCAAGATTAGATTGAAGGCGTGTATAAAAAAAAAATGTCCTCTAGAAGTAATAAAAGAAAATTTCAATTATTGTGAAGAGGAGTGTACATTCTTCACCCTATCGATTTCGTGTCTCCCACAAACCACATTGCAAAAAATCAATTTTTCAACAACTTTGTGTCGTCAGTTATTTGAAGAGGAAACCTTAGACATTTCTCGTGTTCGTCAAGTGTTGTAATAAAATCGGATTTGTTCTATTTGGTAAAAATGATTTTGTTAAACAAAGTACTATTCCAAATATTCTCGACTTCTGAAAAGATTTTCCATAAATATCGTTTCTTTCTTATGAATAATTAATCAAAGAAAAAAAAAAACTAAATAAATATTTAATGACAATTTAATGAATATACCTTATGACGTTCATCAGCCAATATATGTTTTTCATCAATAGTTGTTAATTTTTTAATATAACGATTTTGAACTTCTTCGAATAGAGTTGCAACATGTTTAACATTAAGATTTTGATTTGAACACGTTGTGTTACTCATTGACAAAAGGAAAATAAAAAAAAGAAAAAGAGAAATGCTTGTCTCAATGACAGAAGGATATTTACTATAGATATGGTTTCGTGTTCTTATAAGATACCATTCATTCGATCATTTCTTTGACTAAACCTCTATAGCATACATAATGCATTTCAAATAAAATGCATTAATGTTTTAGAATTAAGAAATAAATAAACTATATTACCAAAAAAACTAGAAACAAATTAATTTTGTTTTCTAAAAAACTAAAATTATTAAAAAAAAAAATAATTTATTATTTTTTTCGTAAATAAAAAAAAGTAAATGCATGTATCTCATGTCTCTTAGTACGAAACGTTGATAAATAAATATACAGAATGAAGAAGGTTTTTCTTTATTGTTGATTGTCCCCTTGTTATTTTTTGTTATATTTGTACTCAAATAAGAAAAAAAAAATAAGAAAGAATAAACATATTTATTAAGATGCTTTCTTTTTTTTTGTAGATCATATCTGTTTTTTTTCTTATTTTGTTCATGTTATTATTGTTTCAATTATTAGAATTATTCATTTATAATCAACGAACTATTTCAATATCTTGTCATTCTCTTGTTTAATATCGAATGGCTCAAAGCAATTGTTAAAAAAAAAGATACAAAATAATAAATTTATTTATATAGTTCAAATTCAAAAATTCAAAATTAAAAGTTAAACAATGACATCGAAAAAACAGAAAAAAGGCAAAACTATACCATTGACAGATTTTCTTGCTGCTGAATCAAAATTAGTTACTGTTCGAGCAACAAATTGGTCAGAAATAGTTGATAGTGAAGAAGCAGAAGTAAAACCTATTGGTAACAAAATTAATAAATTAAATTCAAAACACAAAGAAAAAAAAAAATTTATTTTTCTTTTCTAGTTGTTGACATTGGTATTTTACCAACAGCTCCTCGTAGTGCTCATGATTTTGATTTTAGTACTGTACCAACTAATCCTCCATTTGTTGCACATGTTGCTAATCTATCATTTGAAGTTGATGATGAAGGTCTAAGAAGAATATTTGCTGATTTAAATGTATGATAATTCTTAATTTTATTCTTCTATATTTGTTTGATTTGTTTTTTTCTTTTATTTAGCCAAAAACTGCTCGAGTAATACGAGATGGTATACGTAGTCGAGGTATTGGTTTAGTTGAATTTGAAACACGTGATAATTTAATTGAAGGATTGAAAAGATCCGATAAAGAAGTCTATGGACGTAAAATACGTATTAATATTTCGGATAAACCTGATTTACATAGTGATAGTGGACGAGGAACATTTGGTAATAATCGATCGAATCGTGGTGGTGGTGAAGAACGACCAGAAATGGCTGATAGATGGAAAAGAGCTGAACGTAAATATTGAATTTTTTTATAAAACATGATCTAAAACGAGTGTTGAAATATGGAGAGTAAAAATTTGGACTCACAGACACCTAACGACAGAACTTCTTCAGTTATCCCCTTCCGATTTCAATGATTTTTTACTTATAGATACTACGTAGTGTCCCAATAAAAGTCCTAAAAGATTTTAGGTTTCTATGTAGATTTGGCTAAGATATCGAAATTTTTAATAGGTCTATTTTCTAGAGACTCTCGATTTTCGAAAAACTCGTATTATAGAATATTGATCTGAAACTTTGCACATAGAAAGAACTCAACTAGATTAGAATTCATAAAAATAATTCATAAGTTTTGAACAAAGTCTTTTCGATATATGAAACTTTCAAAAAATGCATGTTATATACGCTATCCACGGGAAAAGAGTCTATCTCTTGAAAGTCTCATATCTCAAAGAGACTTAGTTAAAAACTTGTGAATATTTTTATAGAAATTAGTCTAGTTGGATTCTTTATATGCTCAAAGTTTCAGATCAAAATTTGGTAGCTTAGTCAAATCTCAATAGCAACCTAAACCCTTTTAAGATTTTTATTAGGACACTGTGTTGTATCTATGGGCAAAAACCTATTGAAATTGGGAAGAGACAACTGAAGAAATTTCCTAATTAGTAGCGTCCCACTTCGTGTAACAGACTGTATATCAATAACGTCTCGTTATAATATATAAACTACTTCCTTATGGCATTTCTGGAGAAGAATGATGAAGAAATGTATCCCAAAATAGATTGAATAAAATATTTTCCCTGTAATTAGCAAAAACAGCTACATCATGTTTCACATTTTAATCTTATAAGGATTGCACTAACCGCTTTCTTTAAAAAAAAGACACTGAAAAATTCTTTTAGCCCGACCCGATGACACATCTGATGATCGTCCAAGTGGTGGGTTTAATCGTGATAGACAAAATCGTGGTGATCATGGGCGACGTAAGTTATTTTGTATATTATTTCGAAGAAATAAAAATATTTGGTTTTTTTTTCTAAAGCGAGTATGGGTAATACTTCACGAGATGGTCAACATGGCAATGATTATGGATTTGGTTATCCACGTACGAGAGATGATCGTGGAAGTGGAGGTGGAGGTGGTGGTAATCGTGATTATAATCGACAAGGACAACGTAATCGTTATCAAGATGATACTAATCGACCGAGTGGTGGAGGCGATAGACCTCATTATGCAGGTCGATATAGTGATACACGGTAAAATATTATTTAAAAAAAAAGAATCTTTTTTTTTTTATTTAAAAATTTATTTTAGTGATACACGTGATCGAAAGGCTGCGAATGGTATTGAATTCTTTTTGTTTTTTTTACTAATTCTTTTTTTTTAATGTCTGAATAAAATTAGATGATACTCGTGATGATCAACGAGAACCACCACGTGAACGTCAACGACTTCAACTTCAACCACGTACAAAACCAGTTGAAGAAAATCAACCATTATCCGGTTCATCATCATCTATTAATAATATTGGTCAATCATCAATATCAAATCCAGATGAATCACCATCACCAATAACAAATAAACCTACTCAACAAATAGAAGATTCATCATTAAATGAAAATCCCGATGAAAATCAAGAACAAGAATCACGAGATTCAAATGATAATACTTCTCGAGTTAATACATCCGATGAACAATCAACAGTAAAACCAGCACGTGGTGCTGGTGCTTCTATATTTGGTGGAGCTAAACCGGTGGATACAACTGCTAGAGAACTTGAAATTGAAAGAAAAATGAAAGAATTTCAAATGACTGCAAGTGAAACATCGGCTGATAATGAAGATAAAGGAACTTCATCTAGGTAATTTATATTTATCATTTTTCTCGTAATTATCATTGAATTTTTCTTTTATTTTTTATTTAGGCCATCACATAATCGTGGTAGTGAACGAGACGCTTATCGTGGTAAACGGTCATCACAAAATGATGAGGGTTAGAGAAATTTAATTTTTTTTTTCTTGAATAAATTCAAAAAAATATTTTCTGTTAATTTTATTCAGGTCGATCTGGTCATGGTGCCGATTACCATCATAAACGAGAATTTAGTGGTATATATTTAAAAAGATTCTTTTTTTTTTATAAACTTTTTTATATATTTGTTTTTTAATTATAGGTGGACGACAGTATGAGGATGAGGGTCGAAAACGTAATGATGATCATCGTCGTGGTGGTGATGGTGGTGGTGGTGGTGGTCATGATAGAGATCGTTATGGTGGTGATGGTGGTGGTGGTGGTCATGATCGAGATCGTTATGGTGGTGATGGTGGTGGTGGTGGTCATGATAGAGATCGTTATGGTGGTCATGATCGAGATCGTTATGGTGGTCCATCTCGACGTGATAATGAATCTGGCCGTAAAGGCAAATATAATCATCACAATCAATCAGAACGAGGTATCGAATAAAATTGATTTTCTTTTTTAGTATAATTTATATTTAGATAATGAACGTGGTAATTATCGACCTCGTGATCGTGATGATCGTAATCAGGATACAAGTGAACATAATAATCCTGGTCGTTCATCAAATAATAATTTTAATACTGAATCACAATCTAGAAATCAACCACGGTAAAATTTTTGTTAAAGAAATCTTCATTCTCGATTCTATTTTTTTTATTTTCTAGAGGAACAACACGGCGGACAGTTCAAACTGAAGATGCTTCACATAAAGTATAAATAAATATTTTTTTTTCTTAATTAATAGAATTGAATTATATGATTTAGCTTCAATTGTCGAATAAATTTGGTATGCTTGACGATGATGATCCAGATAATAATAAGGATGAAAATGATGATGTTCGAAGTCCAAATATTGATGGATAAACATCTAACATTCACGATTTTCCTTTTTTTTTTCGTTTACTTATTGTTGATTTATCGAGAGACAATCAGAAAAAAGAGAATCAACATATAACCAGAGAGAGAGAGAGAACATTTACCTTATAATTCTACAAGTTTGGTTTTCTTTATTTTCATTTCTTTATTTACATGGGTTTTCGGGTGGTTTGTTGGATTTTTATGCCTTTGGTATAAACGTGGATGATGAATTTTTTTTTCTTTCATTTGTTTTTTTTTGTTTGTTTGTTATCGTTATAACCTTTATTATGCCTCTCTCTCTCTCTCTCTTATTTTTTTGCTTTCACAAGGAAAATTTTTTGTTGTTGTTGTTGATTGATGATCCATTCATCGTCTTCGTTTTTTTTTCACCATTATTCAAATAAACAAAATAAAAGTTGATTATATTCTTTGTTACATTTTGTGTTTCTAGATTATTATATATATTTATATATATATTGATTTTTGGTTCGATGTTATAAATTATGTAAGTATATAATATTAAAATCTATAAAGAGAAAATATAAATTTTTAATTTTATTGAAGATCGTATTTGGTCGATTTGTGCGTTTATTTTTGTTTATATTTATAATTTCAACGGCAAGAGCTTTTTCGTTATATTTATATATATTTTGTTTCGCTTTGTTTTTTTTTACGATGTTATTATAATAATCAATTAGATACAAAAAAGAAAAACTAGGAATATAATTTATTCAAATGGTTTATATATGTGTTGTTGTTTGAAAAACTATTTATTTCCTTTGTTATTTATATAATAAGAAGTCTTCTGTTGTTGTTCTTATATTGATTTGTCTATATACATATATATCTATATCTATATCTATATATTTCTTATTCTAATGATGAGAATTAAATATTTTCATATACGAGGTAAAGTAGATAATTAAACACGTCAAATAAAAAAAACCACTGTGTGTGTGTGTGTGTGTGTTGCTGCTTGATAAAAGACAGACTTGATTTTTTTTGTTATTGATCAACTGACAATTAAAATACAACTGGCTTTTAGTTTTAGTATAAGTAAATTTTTTTTTTTGTTTTTTTTTTAAATTTTTTAGAGTCCGCTCTGCTTTTCCATCAATATCAATTTGATAACGGCTGATGGAAACAAGAACGTCACGTGTACATTCATCTTCATCATCATTGTCACGTTCTCGTTCACCAATATCAAATAGTGAAAAACGTAGTGTTTCAACATCACCAAGACGAGGACCATCAACACCAGTTAAATCTTTAATAGAAAGAAATGATAATAATAATGAACAAGATCCAAATGATCGTGAACTTTTATCATTCGATGATGATTCTAAAGTAATAGTTGATGAGAGGTCATCACCAATAATGTCAGATATTGATCAAAGTCATCAAAAAAAGCGATCACGTCATCGACATCACCATCATCATCATCATCGTAAACATTCGAAATCAAATAAGCGTTCAGCAACACAACATCATCGACATTCAGTTAAAAGAAGGTATTTATTTAACTTAAAATTTTCTATTAAATTATAAGATGGTAGAAAAAACATTTAACAACAATATATTTTTTATTTTTCTATGATGTTAATCAATTAACTCAAATCCTGATCGTGATTTTACTACCCAATGCAGTTTTTCTCTAATGCATTCTATAGCAAGATTCCATAGATGAACTATGATGGCAAGTTTTCTAAAAAACCGAACATGGTAGTTTTCAAGTCTCAGAAGACTATTTTTTAACAATGCCGTTTCAAAGAGAACAAAATGAGAGATTGTCGCACTTTCTATGACCTTCTCTTAAAATGCTAAAAGTATCATAAAAACCGAAAAAAGGCATTTTTCAATCGATATTTTGATAAATTTCCTTATTTTAAGGTTTTTGTGATACTGTTAACTTTTTAAGAGAAGGTTGTAGAAAGTATGGCAACTTCTCATTTTGTTCTATTTAAAAAAGCATTGTTAAAAAAACAGCCTTTTGGGATCTAACAACTACCGTATCCAATTTTCTAGAAACTTTGCCATCATCGTTCATCTATGAAATCTTGCTATACAGGATAAAAAAGTCACCGGATAGTTTCTGAGTGCAAATAACTTCTGATAGAAACGAGAAAGAGAGCTGTAGTTTTCAACGTTGAAAAGGAGACTTGGAACATCGAAACATTGAACTTTCGAAAACCTCATTTTTCTAGGCATCTTGGTTTTTTCAAAACTCTCCTAAAACTCTTTCTAAATATTATGTTTCTTACATGATTCGATGTTTCCGAGTCTCCTGTTTACAACGGTGAAAACTGCTCAGTGACTTTTGGATCGCTCTATAAAGTATTTTAGAAAAAAAAATCAAAAATAAGTTGTTGTTAAATTTTTTCCCATCATCTTATATTTGTGTAAATTTGTTTTTTTTCTATTTTAAGTAAAAAAGAAACAGTATCAACCGTACATCGGAATAAATCGAATGATGAAAATGTTATTAGTTCACCAGAAAAAAATACAAGTGAAAGCCAACCATCCCAATCAGAACAAGAAATCTCATCATCAAATGATGAATCAAATGATGAAGAAGGAATTGTTGAAGGTAAATTTTAATTATTTATTAGATTATAATAAAAATTTGTATTGACATATCGAATTCTATCTTATTTATTATTATTAATAAAGTGCAAGCAATTCGAAATTGAAGCGAAATTTTTTTTGTTGGCGTGGTTAGATAGAATTCGTCGAGTTACCTATAAAATGTTGTTTTTAGCATATTCAAACGATGTTTTTGTAATGAAAATTAGGTTAAATTCAATCAGAAAAATTCATAAAAATTGAATCACACCAAAAGCATCAAGTTTCAAGCTTTATCCAAACTTTGCTTGTTGAAAAATACCGTTTGATTATTGAGAAAGTCGATTTTTTTTACATGATAACAAAACGTCATGAATGCGGATTTGTATTTTAAGATTTTGATCATCAGTTTCAAATGAAACGAATATCATATTCAGAATTAGTGCACAGAATATTACACTCAAAGTTAAATTTCGGTTTTTATACGCCTTCGCTGCTATTTTCGAATATTCTGAGTATACTGTTTTTTTTTGCGCTGGTTCTGAATGTGATATTCATTTCTTTTAAAACTAATCGTCACAATCTTTGAATACAAACTCATACTTATGGCGCTTTACTATCATATCGAAAAAATCGATTTTCTCAATAATCAAACAATATTTTTCAAAAAACATGCATTATTTTTGGACTCTATGTATAAGATAAATTCCAGTGAGATATGAACGATCTCAGAAGGATAAGTGCCCTTAGGCCTTTCTTCTAATGTTATAGACATTTTACTGGAATTCCACGCTATAGCACGATATGTACCAACAAATTGAATGATAGTATTTCGCCTACAGATAGATCTATCCATGGGCGAAATTTCAAATCGCATTACTATCATTCAATTTGTTGTCACATATCGTGTCATAGCCTAAAACTTTGGTAAAATACCTATAACTCTGGAAAAAAAGATAATTGATCAGCTGAAACAGTTCCCTCGTAAAACTTGACGTTTTTGATATGTTTCAATTTTTATACACTTTTCTGATACTTTTTTAAATCTGAGTTTCACTACAACAACATCGTTTGAATATGCTAAAAATAAAATTTTAGGTAACTCGACGCGGTTTATCCAACAGAGATGGCATCGATTTGATTCCGCAAAAATGCGAATTGATCCCATCTCTGCTATTCAACTATGCTAAAAGATAAGAATTTTGCCCAAATTTCGAATTGTCGATAATTTACCAAAATAATTTTGTATAATATATGTATATTTATTTATTGTTTTTCTTCTTCTAGGTGATAGTACACCGAATGAACGTCATAGTCGTCATCATCGTAAAAAACATCGTTCATCATCAAATAATGAAAAAAATAGTCAAAGTCCTCAATCATCATCGTTTCCTATACCTAAAAATAATAAAGGTACACAATTAATAGTCAATTATTTACCAGCATCATTACGTGAATCTGATTTTTATCAATTATTTGCTCGTATTGCACCAATTAAATTATGTAAATTAATAACTGATCGTTATACAGGTCAATCATATTGTTATGGTTTTATTGAATATCATACAAAAGAAGATGCTACAAAAGCTATTGAAAAATATAATGGATATAGAGTTGAACATAAAAAATTAAAAGTTTCATATGCTCAACCAAAATCAAATAATAATTATGATTTAGATAATGTTCAACATATGAATTTATCATCATCATCATCAATACAAAAAAATCCTAATATATATATAACTGATTTACCAGATGATTTTGATGAAAAAATGTTAGAACGTCTTTTTTCAAAATATGGTGAAATTGTTCAAACGAAAGTTTTACGTGATCCGCGTACAAGAATATCACGTGGTGTTGCATTTGTTCTTATGACATCAACACGTTATGCTGAACGAGCTGTTAAAGCACTTGATGGTTATGTACCATCAGGTTCGCATACACCGATATCTGTTAAATATGCTGATCTCAAAAAAACCGTAGCAGCAGCTGCAGGAAATAATGGTAACATGAGTTCATCATCTCGTTTATCAAGTTCATCATCAATGACACCAACTATTGGATCATATGGATATCCACCTGGATTACCACCATTGAGTATGATTGATCCATATTATGCAGCAGCTCTTCATCATCATCATCGAGCAGCAATAAACATGTTCGTAAAAGTTTTTTTTTTTTTTTGTATCAAATACGATCTGAAAGGAGTGTTGAAAGTGAAAATTTGGACTCCTTGTCTTCTACAGGATGCATCCAGGCGAACGTTAGGTGAAAAAAGACGCATAGTAAACTTTTCATCAATTCAAATCGTAATAAATATACTTCAAGACATGCCTTATCTACTGGTGTAACAAACTTTTCTTACGAATGCCAAGTAAAGTGGAAAGCCTGTCAATCAAAACTTAGCTTGAAAACACACCTGTCATTAGAAAAGTTAAGTTTTTGCATAAGACTCAACCGATCAGTAGGCAAAAACAGCACATATTTTGAGTTGGCTCTACGTTCTATATGGATTTGTAAAAAAATGAATTTAAATTTGAGCTAATAAATGTTTAAGGAAAAGTGAAAATATTTCAGTAGTAATTTTTCAAATGGCTGAATTTAGTAAAATAAGTACGACATTTTCAGTCATGATTTAGATTCGCTCAAACCTTGTCAAATTATTCGTCTATCTAACCTCTATCAACAAAGCTGACACAAACGTTTCTAGACTTAGATATGAGATTTTCAAGAAACCAAAGTTTTCTGGGATAGTTCCCATTTTTTCTGCTGCAAAAAGATTTTCATTGTAAAATAATGGCATATTCAGAATGAGCACGCGAAACTATATTGGATGATGTACAGCACAAGATAATATCTTGTATCCAAACAATTTTCGCGAAAAAATTTACGTGAGGGTACTCTTCAAATATTTTTCTTCAGAAAATTCTATTTCTTAATCGTATGTAATTAGTTCTAAGTATAGATATACGGAACCAAACAATAAAACTTTATCGGGACTGAAATTCAAGTCTATAGTAACACACTCTACGGTTTTAAACAAATTATCTTACAAATCATATGAATCAGAGCATAATTCAAGAGAGATGACCTAAAAGTGTACTATTCGTCAACCTAATAAATAAAAAAAAACAAGTATTGAAGAATTATTTTAGATATGATGTAAATAAATTCTCGAATAGTTTTCGTTAGAGTGGAACGACTAGAAAAGAAGCTACTGAAACTATGATCGGGATAAAAAAAAACTTGGTTCCGCATATCTCTAATTCTGAACAAAAGAAAGTTATTCCCGATAAAGAAGTTACATGTCCGTCTGCAATGCAAAAAAACGCACTGTGTACCCCTTCTTCATGTCAGAGGTGTTGATATACGATCCCAGACTGGATATTAATAACGTCTCGTTATAGTATATAAACTACTTTCTTATTGCATTTCAGGGGAAGGCCGGTGAAGAACTATGTCCCAAAATTGATAGAATAAAATAATCTCCTTGTGATGAACAACAGCAACTACAGCTTATTTCACATTTTAATCCCGCAGGAATTGTGCTAATAGCTTTTCTTAAACTCTTTATATTATTCGTTTTAACTAAAAATTGAAATTGTGCTCGGAAATAAATAATAGGTTTCTTTTTCTTTTTAGGAGAGATTTAAGCCCATCACCGCCACCACCACCACCACCACCACCTCTACAATCATATTATAGTAGTGGATCTAATCGTTCTTCTCGAATGCGTGGTTCATCACCAAATTTACCACGTTCATATTCATCATCATCATCAAAACATAATTCAAATATTCTAACAACACGTATGAATAAATCATATTCATTAAATAAAAATTCATCTGTTTTTCTTTTGTTTTAAAGCAAGTAATCTTAATACATCATCAACACTTGCTGCTGCTTATGATCTTATAGCTAAAGGTTGTCAACAAGCTATTGATCCAAATGGTTTTGTAATATATGCATTTGGTTTACCACATGATTGTGATGAAAATGATTTAGAAGAATTATTTCGCCGTTATGGTGAAGTTTATCGTGTATATATTGTAAGAAATTATACAACAGGTGAATCAAAAGGATATTCATTTATAACAATGCGTTATTATGATGACGCATGTCATGCTGTTGATCGTCTTGATGGTACAACATTTCAAGGTAGAACAATTCAAGTACGATTTAAGCAATAAATATCAATTTATTTCTATGAAAAAGAATTTTTGTTTTTTGCTTTTGCTTTTGTTTACTAACAAAAATCTATTGATTGAAATTCGAAGTTCATTTATGAGGATGTTTTTTCTTTCTTTTCTTTTGTTTTTTGACACCGTTGATCTTTATTTGTTGTATTATTTGTGTGTTAAAAAAAAAATAATAAGTTTAGACGAATTAAACAAATAATATTTCAATATTTTAGATCAAATTTTCAGACATTCGATTGTTTTTTTTTCGTCTATTTCCTCTCTTTTCTTTTCTTTTATTGGCATCAACCGTCAATTTATATTATTCTCAATTTTACATTAAAGGTAAATCATTATTTTATAGAAATAGAAAATTCATTTATATTAATTGTATTATTGCCTTTTTCTTTTTGTTATAAAGATCTATGTAGCAAATACTTGTTTATTTGATTTTCGTAAAATATTTGTTACCGGTAATAATAATAGTAGTACGACATTAACAAATTTGTGTATTTAATTGATAATTTATAATTCAACGAGAAGAATAAATATTTATGATGAATAATAGCAATAATATTGCTGCAACAGCTAGTACAATATCACAATTATTAAATGGATTCGAACATGATGATTCGAATAGTTCAGCATCTGCTGGTGCTATTGACGATGTTTCAAGTATAATGAGAAATCCTTGGGATCCATTCCATTGCGCTGACTGGGATATGCAACAACCAAGTGCGACTTGTTTAGCACGAATTAAACGGTAAATAAAAAATTTTCTTTGTAATAAAAACTAAATTTAAAAAAGTTGTTTTTTTTTTGATTAATTAGTGATATATGGAGCGTATTTAAAGATCCTCCACCAGGTATGTTTATTGCACCGGATCCTGATAATATCACTAAAGTATGTTATCATAATTTCTAATTTATTCATTTAAATTTATAAAATATTTTGTAGATTCATGCTTTGATTGTTGGTCCATTCGATACACCATACGAAGGTAGAATATCAAAAAAACAAATGTTAAGTATCTTTTATGACGTTTTCTTTCTTTGTTTAGGTGGATTTTTTTATTTTCTCATTCGTTGTCCACCTGATTAGTACGTATAAAACAGTTTAATAATTAAATAACGAGTGAACTAGAATAAATGTTCTTCTAAGTATGTTTTCAATATCGCTGTCAAGGTGCACCGACATGCTTTAATCTTTTTGTTTTAGAATTTTTTTCCAGCCTTGTGAAAATATAACAATGTAGAAGAGTACATTTAGACGTATAACTAACGAAAGAAGTCCTCCAATTAATAAATCACTTTTGACTCGAGACTACATGCTTTATGTAGACTTAAATGATCTATGAATATATTAAAAAGAGTTCGTAGCCTTAGCTCATTGCTGTAGATATATTGTACTTTTACGATAGCTTTTATATGAATGTTGTCATAACAGAAAAACTAGTTTTCGAATATCGACTTAAAACACGTTTTAGTTTTTTGTGAATATTTGAGATCTTGTCGTAGTTCCTCTACTAAGATACAACTGTGTTAATAGCGTGTCTTTTGTACCGCTCATATCAACCGGCAGATTTGATGTTATTATTTCAAGATAGAAGCAAATCAAAAGATTTAAAACTTTCACAATAAATTATTCTCGTTAAGATCTGCCTGCTTGCAAAGTATCAAGTCGAAATTCGAAAATCAGTTTTTCTGTTACTACGACATTCATTTAAAAGCTATCATAAAAGTGCAGTATCTCTGCAGCAATACTCTAAGAGCATGAATTTTTGTACGAGTATTCATAGCTCATTTGAGACTAAACATAATGCGCATAGTTCTGAGTCAAAAGTGATTTATTAGTTGGAGGACTTCTCTCATTAATTATACACCTAAACGTACTCTGTTACATTGTTATATTTTTACAAAACTAGAAAAAAATTCTAAAACAAAAAGATTAAAGCATAAGAATAAATCTTGACAGCATTATTGAAAACATACTTAGAAGAACATTGATTCTGGCTCATTCGTTATGTAAATCTATTTTTTTTTCTTTTAAATTAAAGTCCTATCCGAGCACCTCGTTGTCGTTTAATGACTACCGGAAATAATACAGTTCGTTTCAATCCAAATCTTTATCGTAATGGTAAAGTTTGTTTATCTATTCTTGGGTATGTTTTTTTCTTTTATGTATCTATAAAAAAAAATATCGAATATTGATTTTAATTGTGTTTTTTTCTCAGTACATGGAGTGGTCCATCATGGTCTCCAGCTCAATGTATATCATCATTACTTATTTCTATTCAATCACTAATGTCGGAAAAACCATATCATAATGAACCCGGTTTTGAACATGTATATTTTTGTTTTGTGTAAAAATACTAAATTCTTATAATAGAATTTTTTTGTTTTTTTCAAATTTAGGAACGTACATCAGGTGATTCAAAAACATATAATGAAATAATAAAACATGAAACATTACGTGTTGCTGTATGTGAAATGCTTGAAAATGAAAATTCATGTCCACAACAATTACGGTAAAAATTTTTCTATAATAAAAAAAAACAAAAATGAATAGATCAATTTATGTTTTTTTTTTCTTTAGAGAAGTAATGATCAAACAATTTTTTGATTTCTATGATTATTATGTTGAAGTATGTACAGAAAATTCAAATAAAGATGGACAACAAATGATGGTAAAAATTATTTTATATATATCATATTTATGTTTATTTATTAAAATTTCAGGATCCATTTGGTGATCGTCGTGGTCTATTTGAATATGGATCAATATTACAACGTTTAAAAAAATTAAAAGCAAGATTTGAATTATTACAAAGCACAAATAATAATAATGCATGTTCATCACGTTCATCATCAATATCAAAACATCAACATATTGATGCACGTACTCGTGAAATAATGAATGATGCTGCGGCACTTGATCCAAATCCAACATCAAATGATCCTACAAATCTTGATGATATATTTGATCATGAAGATGATGAACCAGATTCATCAATGGATGACGATGATGATGATGATGATAATAATAATCATGAACAACAATTAAAAGATTCTGAGTCAATACCAACTATTCAAAATGCTGAACAGTCGAAAGAAAAAAGTTCAACATGATAAGAAAATAAAAGTTTTTTTTTCGTTTATGTATATTTATGATTTCTAATTAACTAACATTTATTTAATGATGTCATCGTTTATAATTATCAGCATGAATGATCATTGATCATACCTTTTAATATTCTTTTCTCCTGTTTCATTTTTGTCTCATATATATATATATATATATTTCTATCTCGTCGTCATTTCGTCAAAAATAACAAAAAAAGAAAAGGAGGTTTGTTTTTCTTCTTATTTGTATAATATTATCTTTAAACAAAAAAAAACAACACGAATCAAACACAAGTTCAGAACGTAGTTTCTTTTATTGATATTATCTTTTCGACAAAAAAGAAGAATTATTTGTATGATTGTCCTTTCAATTATTTGAAAACAAATAGAAGATGCATAGTAATGATAAATATTTTAAATTCAATATAGTTCTTTAGTCTCAAGTTTAGGTTGAGGAATGACTTGTTTAATCATTTCTTCTGAAAAAGAATTCATATTATTTTACCATCTTATATATTTGCTAGAAGACACATAGACTAAGCCACTTCTCAAAATGGAAGGATCACATATTAGAAGTTTCCTCTAGAAGGATCAATGTAAAATAACGTTTTAGAAACCTTAGGAGTCCTGTTGTGCCCAGACAATTACAGTTTTTCGAGCAAAGCTTTGCAGATACTATTAAATTAGTTTTAATCAGGCGTCGTCTGCATATAAAAAATATTTCACTTTAATCATTAAGTCCAGAAGTGCTGTTAACGATATTTGTGTTTAATAAAAGTTATTCAACGTTATCGTCTTCTTTTTTGTCGACTTCTCTATGATTCTTTGTATTTTTAATATAATGTATAGATATCCTTTGACAAAGGATCATTGTCAATAAGTTGTTCTCAACATCTATGAGTAAGTTATACTTCTTTTTCTGATCATCTCTCATCAGATAGCCGTCATGCTTAACACCATCGCTAATGAATATTCAATTTGTAAATCGATATTGACAAACGATAATTACTAAAGAAAAATATAAGAAATATATAGTAGTGATATTTTTAAAAAATGAGTCATCACTTCTATTTATTAATAGCTGTCGTCTTTTAAAAATGGAATTAATGGTAGTGAGTCGTGACTTCTTTATATGGCCATAAACATAATACATAATAAATATATTTTTGTTGCGTACAAAAAATGGAAAAGAGCAAAACAAACACTAAAATTTCAACCTAAATTTTTGAAATCAAAAGACTATAGCTTTATATATGATTGTTGACTTTAAAACAAAATTTATTCAATTCGACAATATGAAACATTAAAAATGGATCATATTCGAATAATATCATCAAACTTCTTACTGCTTTCAAATGATCTCGAAATTAATTTCTATTATGAAGTGATGAGATTTTGTTAGAATAAATTCAATTCACCTTTTCATTGTGTTTTCGTCGTTCGTTGTTCTACTAATATTATTAACATCAATGAACAACTATTTAATTGTTTACTGTTAAAAGAATTATCTATTACTATGGATACATTCAATATTTTTCGTATAATCAATATATAAGAAAAAAAATTCAACTTTTGATGTTTATTCTGTCAACATCAATGCAACTTTTTTATGTATTTTACACTTTTTTCTTTTTCTATTAAAAACTGATACCAAAAAGAGACCCGAAACGAAACATGAAAGAATTACAAAAGTGTACACTACAAACATTCTCATTGACATAGATTTAATTTTTCGAATTAACTTCTATATGTAATATGAAAAAATTTTTGTATTAGAGAATACTTGAAAATTCACGAAATGTAAGAGTTTGTAAACAATAAAGTGATTTATTATTATGACATAAAAAATAGTTATTCTGAAACAAAAATTATTTTCTAACAAGTACTAATTTTTGGTCATTTTTTAATATAAATTAGTTCATTTTACGATCAACATGTTGGAACATTTTCTTTTTTTTCTCTACTAAATGAAATATTCTCTTCATTTTGATCATATCTGAGTTTATCAAGCCTATCGAATAAAAAGATACAATTCATCTACAACGGAGCCACGAGGGTTAACTAGACTCAAGCATACCCTAGATTCACCCTTCATAAGCTAGAGGAAAGGCACAAACGCTTTCATTTCTCCTTTGATCAGATCGATAGATGTGAGTAGCGCATTACATTTCTTGTACAAATGTCAATATTTTTTGTCGTTCTCGACGGATAATAATAACATTTTCTTCGTCAAATAGACTTAGAAAACGTTATTGAGGAAATATTCAGTTTTATATAAGTAAATATGACATTATACAACGGCAAAAAATTGAAATGAGGATCCTTCATTACAAGTGAAGAAAAATTATACGGAAAATCTCAGCTAGATTAACTAGAATCTATCAAAATCTTTATTCGCCTTCGGCGACTAACATCACATGCTTATTAATCATTTTCAACAGTAAACAAAATCAAAGTGCAATGACGGTTTTTTTTTTGTGTGTTAATCTTTCTGCTTCGTCATTAATGCTTTATTTTCCAGTAAAACAGATAGAAAATTTGTCTTTCAAAGGTCGTATTTCAATAAACATAAACATTCGCACGTTTCTTTACGTAAGTTGCAAATTTTTTTCTGATCTGTACTACTATTATAAAAGAAGTACTAACTGTAGTGTCATTAAAATAGCATGGAAAAACTTGTCTCGTGTCATTTTTAATTTCAAGATGTGAATCTCATAAAAGAACTTTGAGCTTATCCTTGAATCAAAACATTCCGCTGTCTATGATACAATGAACAACAATGCATAAATTTTGATAAAAAAAAATCATTAGAATACAACTTTTCAATTTTTTTCATGATTTCTAATTGAAAACATATTTTTGACATTTTTCCTATCGATCAGTCATTAATATCGTCTAAGCTCTCTGATAGGATTTTTTCAAACAAAATGTTTGTTCGTTTCTAAGCGACCTCTATCGTCATTTATCGTCTATACGAAAATCTTAAGATCCAAAATAAAGGTTTCAAGAACATAAAATAATTGGTAGAAAATTTGGCAACATTGAATATGTACTTGTCTTCCTGTTTTTTTACCAGTGTGAAGATAGCCTGACGACCAATCGGATGCGCTCCACTCATCCCCCAATCATTA